GCGCTTTAAAAGCCATGTTACTGTCAGAGGTTAGGCTTTTCCTTAGAAACTGATACATTACTCGAATCCATGCCACAAATTAGGCCTAGAAAAGCGAATGATTTTCAAATTATGTGTGGGAAGATCGATGGTATAGCAAAAAACTATAAAAAAATAAAAAAACAAGAACAAACATTTATTCAAGTTTTTCGCCATGCGCCATAGATTTCAACGTCCGTTGATTCCAGGTAGTCATTCCAATGGATCCTGAAAAGGGCTATGCAACAGTTACCCAGAAATTTTTTCTGGAAAATTCGGCTTCCTAATCATTAGCTTACCGCCATTTCCTCCACGTAAAAAAGCGGCCGGCAGTTTCCGAGCTGATACCCGCTCGCCAAAAATTCGGCTTGCGCCAACGAGCTGTTTAAATATACAAAATTTGGGTGGCCCACAGCATTAACGACGCACGGTTGATCTAAAGGGCCTCCTTAACTCCTTAAAGAGATGGAGAAGACAAAGGCGCCAGTTATGCAGGGGGGATCGTGGGTGGCTATTCACTCTCTCACTTGACTGGCATCTCCACCCTGTTGGCTACTTAGCAGTGGTGGAGCCCGATTTGATAACATGTTGAAATTCATGATGTCAAAATTACTTTCTGAATTATGGAATGTGTTTCTATTTACTTTAAGTTAATTTCAGAATTCCGGATTTCAGAATGCATTTCAGAATGTCGGAATTTCTGAATATTTTCTCAATCTTCGAATGTTTTTCAATTTAATTTAACTTGATTTCCGAATTTGAAACTACAGAATAGAAATTCCCGGATTTCGAAATTTTGTGCCTCAATTTCGGTGAGTCGACATTTATCGGAAAATTTTTAATTTCCGGTTGAGGGAGAGTTGCTTATGTAAATTTCGACATTTTGAAATTTTGGCGTCAGAAAAACTACACATTTGAAAGTCAAGGATAAGTCCATTGCTCCGAATAGGCCTATTGGAGAGCGTATTGGGAATAGTTGCCACGATATCCCCTCCCCCACGCTAATGCACCAAAACCTTACGACCTTGAAAAAATGACCAACTCCTATGCAGAACTGTGGAGCGTTGATACATATGACAAAACAGGCTTCGGCAGGCGGCAACGTAGAATTTGATATTTGCAGAAAGTAATGATCTGCCAATACAAGGCTTCTCAGAATCAGGAGAATCTTTACAAACTTCATGGTGTTTTCAGGGTTACACCCCAAAAATTCGTCAGATCCGAGTTTTGGGGCCCGTTTGTAGTCGTGGTTTGAAATGGAATAATGGACTTTCGGGCTTTTTGAAATATTACCATACATTTGCTCCTAGGCAGAAAAGTTTTTTTATTCAAAACGCACCCCGATTTTAAAACAATGGTCAGTGGACTGCAGGCCATCCAGTTTTGAGAAAATTTAAATTTAACATCGAAGACAACTGACAAAAAGAAGTTTTTGAGCGTCTACAGAGTTTGGAATTCGGCCGAACCTCTTTTGTCGAGGATTTGGGAACATCTGCATCCCACACGTCTCCAAAATTTCCGGAATAGCAATTTCTCGGAAGTTCGCGATCAAGCCCAGAAAAAAAAGAAAAATGAGCTAGTTTTCGCGGCCCTAAAACTGTGATACAAAATTCCGAGTATTTTAAAGGCCTGTAGAACGATGGTTTTCGCGAAAAAGCAAAAGACTTCGCGCCGGGCGGAGTCGCGCCCGAACTGTGAGAATCACAGCCCAGCGCGCTATACACTATACCACGCTCACCAACTGGGAGGGAGCGTCGGAGAGGGATGACCTCCCCGAGGCGCTCCTAGGTCCACGGTGTCCGCGCTCTGCAGCCAGACGGAACCCCTGCGGCTGAGTACCCCAGCGTCCCGGAGGCCTTTAACGGTCTTTGAAGGTAGCTGATTTCTGACGGTTCTCAGGCTTCAAACATTCATAACTTCTACAAATTAGCTAATCCGGTAAATTTGGTAAATAGCTTCGAAATCTGCGCCGAATTCTGCACAAGTTAGTCTTGGTCCAATCCCAAAAACCCAAAGACACTCACTTCTAGTGAGTTTGAAAACGTGCTATGTGTGTAGTAATCTCCAGTCCTTTACGCTTCTAAACGCATCATACATATCCTAAAATTTTTCCTAATACGGTGATTTGTTTCTAGAAACTTTTTATTATCATCAGATAGTAAACTAATAGGATTGATTCAAGGGCTGATGATGGCAGCCTTCTCACAAGCAGCCGCCGCATAAATTCCCCCACAGTCATAGTCATTCCATTTTCCCGTGCAGGTGGTCCTAAAGAGCAATCTGCAAATTGAAATCCCCTACCCATCGGAGGAGGTGGCGTTTGGATGATAGAGGTACACCTGAAGTCGCAGAACTCTAAAAACCAGGTTTTCGCTACGAACCTGCATGCATGGCTCTCCACCACCCGAGTTGTTCGGCTCCCCAAGGTCCCAATGGTCATAGTCCCATTCCGAGCCGTCGTCCCAGACAAACGGGCCGGTCCCTGAGGGCTCCTAAACCTTGATTAAGATGTTGTTAAAAACTAGTGGTAGTTTAAGTCTCCGCAAAAACAAACTGCAATCTCAGGAGGCCTGGAAACAACATCCCCTGTAACTCGACGAAAAAGGGTTGGATCCGAATGATACTTGTACCGTCCAGAAACCCTTGCACGGCGAATTTCCACCCATTTTTCCTTTCCTTCCTTTAATTTAAACGAACTGTTATATAACAATGACTTGAAAAACATTTAGCAACGGCTTTTTCATCCAGTTAACGGCCATTTACGACAATTTTACTTGAAGAAAGTAAGGTAAATTAGCTCGAATTCAGCCCGGAAAACCTGCAAAATTTGAGAAGATTGCTTATAAAATGTCGCGTTTAGATAACAAGCTAGTTATTAAGGTGGATACAAATTAGCCTTTTTGGGGGTTTCCAATGATGTTATCATGTTTGAGATCCGGCCATTCTTTCATCGGGAACGGGGGGTTGTTTTATTGGGGCACTCTATAGTTTTTTTTTTAGTTTTTCTTTCTATAAAACATAGGTTGAAGCCGTTTACCCTATGAGCTCCAAGTAAACCCATAAGTCGGAGCATCGGTAATTGACCCGTGCCAAGGTTGTAAGGGCTCAGCATCAGTTCTAAAGCACAGCTAGACAGAAGATGACGACGCTCGTTAAATGAAAAGTTTAGTACGTATAGGAACAAGTGAAAAAACGGGGGAAAGCTGAAACCATGAGACTTTCTGAACTTACCCAAAAGAAAGGCATTCTCCTCTACAGAATGTATTGATGCTAACGTCGAGTTCAGCGCCTCACAGTTATTGCGCGCTTGCAAGGCTGTCACATTGATAAAGACCTAAATTGTATGATTTAATTTTGATATACTACGAATACAGATTATCAATAATACCTGATAGCAGCTATCAGTAACGTTAAATTTGGTCCAACCGGGTTCGCACACAGACTAAAATGACTGGGTGATGAAAAAAAAGATCAGACAGCGTTTAGAAAAGGCGGGATGCATTTTTACCAGCACAACAGTAGCGGTCAAAAAATTATCAGCGGCGAAAAGGTCTATATCTCGAATGTCCTAGCTCTAAATTTTGTGAAAATTTACCTCTAGGTCAAATAAATCCGATTTCGACATCAAATCCTGCGTTCATTTTAGTTGCTAACTTAGCAGTTTTACAAACACCGCGAAAATCAACTTTTTCCTGAGGCATTTTTGGCTTTCAAAAACAGATTCATCGGGTTCAAGGATGGTGGAAAACCATTTTCTGGGTGTTTTTCGTATTTTTTCTGCGGGAAACAGGCTTTCCTGCAGAAAGTTGCCGTTTCGAACAGCCAATTTAACAAATAAAATGAAAAATTCGCACAATTTTGAAGTTGGCATCGGATTCCCCGTTGCATAATTGACCTAGAGTCAAATTTCACAAAAGTTAAAGCTAGGGCATCCGAGATACGGACGCTTGCCCGACCTGATAACTTTTTGACCGTTACTGTACCTCTGCCTCTTTGACAAGTGGCCAACAGCTTTCGAGCTCAAACCCGTTTGCCAAAAATTCGGCTTCTCCCAAAGAGCTGTTAATATATAAAAAATTCGGTTGGCCCACAGCAGAAACATTACATGGAGTATCTGAAAAACGACTCAGAACCGCATTAGAAAATCACCAAGTCCTTTGCAAGATTCCGGATCCTTGACGCACTCAATGAAACATTCCACAGCCGGTGGCGACGTGGAATTTGAAATTTGAAGAAAGTAATGATCAGCCAGTACGAGACTTTTGAAAATCGATACAATGAAGGCAGATTTCATCACGTTTTTAGGGTTCAGCGCTGACATTCGTGGCCCGAAAGTGCATCGCATTGAAACCGTGTAGTGCATTGAAACCTATTTGTAGTCATGGTGTAAATGGACTCGAGAAATTTGCGCCTTTCGGAAATTAGGGCAGAAGCATTTGCTCCTATGCAACAGTGCGTATACGATTACGAAATAAATTATAAAATATTTACAACGGCTTCGCTGTTTTTCAACGCTCGTTGTTTCCAAAAAAATGCGGGCATATCTCGAGCCTTTCAGAAAAACTAAATTTTACTGTTGAAAGCACCCCCATTTTGATAGTTCTGCTATATCTGCGGTCATCTGGAAACGATGATGCACCTAACGACGTATCTGTTGTTTTGAAAATTATTTCATGTTGTGATGTTATTATAGACTTCGGACCGAATTGCATGCAATTGAAACACACCGGGTGCGTTGTTGCAAATTGATCATATATTTATTTATATTAGTAATGTTCTTTATCGTATTGGCGCCGAGTTTATCAGTGTTATGGAGCGAAATGCGCCTCTGTCTGACACACGCCCGACGCAAATTGATCACATTCGTGGGAGTACCACTGGTAGATATTGCGCTCATTCGTACCCCATGGTCTGCAACGTTTCATTTAAAAATTCAAGGATAGGCACGTCGCGAGAACCCGAAAACCGTCCAATTATACCTACACAACTCTGACGAAGCTACCGGCACGGTAGGAATACATCTAAAGAAAAATTTAAGAGCCAAGCAACATTAATTACCGCGACGCAACTTCCGTTGTCGCTCGGCTCGCCGGTAGCCCATGCTATATAATCCATTGGTGAGCCATCATCCCAAACATATGACCCGTTGTCAGTCTAGAACCCGAATTGCGTGAGCTAGTCTATTCTACGCAAATTTCGCTCATTTTTTTTGGGTTGTCTAACTGCAAAGGTTTGCTTTGTTTCGGTACCTATCAATTTCGGTGAGGCTTCATTTCGCTGAATTTTCATTTCGCCGAATTACCTATGAAAATCTATGTTAGAGTCCTTAGAATTAACAATATTTTGCTCCGTCTGTCACCATGATTTTGTCGGAGCAGCAAGAAGATAACTTACCTGGGTTGAAAACAGCGGCGCTGATGTTGGCTTCGACCTTCGACAGCTGAGCTATTTTTTATTGTTTGCTAGATAAACGGCTACGAAACTCCGGCCGAATGAACCGCGGTGCAATAAACTTTAGCCAAAATATACATTCAGCGCAATGAAAATTCGGCGTAATTAAGGTAACTCTTCAAATTATTTCTACACTGTGAGCATCTTACCTTATATGCACCCATTAACGAAGCGGCCGGGTCTGGAAACCGGGCGCCGGCGTCGTTGATGGCTACGGTCATTAACCCTGAAGAATGGCGTGAAATGGCTAACACCGGCTTCAAGACCTTCACTTCCCAAAAAGGGTGCACCCAAATTGCGCAAAACATGATTAAACAGTTTACCCGATAGATATATCTGGTCATTCCTGGAATGGATCGAGGCGACTGATGCGTTCTGCGATTTGCATACTTCCCTCATCGCTTCGAAAGTCACATTTACGGTCACCTTCAGATTGAAGATTTGAAAATGGTGAAGAGGTAAACTAGACCTTAAAGCATTTATCGGAGGTGTTCAGCTTTGTCCAACCGGGGTCGCATATGAGCTGAATAATGGGAACTAACGATTTACGAAGTAACAGCTCAGGTGGCACATGGCTTCCGGATTTGCAGATACATTTTTGAACAAATTTCCGAATCATCTTTTCAAAACCATGTTTTCGAAACGATATTTTCGAAAATCAGTTTTCAAGAAACCAGAATTTCGAAAAATTTGGCGAGCTAGATCAATAGGAAAAGACTGCAAAACATAGGTCTACAAATTTTTCGAAATCTAGATTTTTAGAAAATATGACTGTCAGCAAAGTGATTTTTCGAAAAATGGTTTAAAAAATTGATCTTTGTAAAAAACTTTTTCGAAAAATTCCCCGCCGTTTTCCAAATTCCAAAGCTGTAAATTGCAGGCCCGATCATACCTCAAGCCTCTCAACAAAGGGCACCCCACATTCTCCGATTGCCATTCCATCATCTGATGCTGTTGATAGTCCGATCGAGCTATTAATATACAAAAATTCCGGCCCCACATCATCCGCCCCATAAATTTTACATGCACTATCTTAAAAAACCTTCGCAATTTTGTTAAAACACACAAACCAATGCCTTTGCAAACTTCACCCTGTTTTGCACACTGCGCAAAGCAGGTCCCAGTCGGCGCCTCGGCAGAATCCGAAGTTTGCAAAAAATAATAGTCTCCAAAACCGACAGATGCAACGCTCAGAAACAGCAAAACAGATTTCATCTTCAAAGTAAGGTGGGATTTTGAGGCCGCAAAATTTGTAGCCGTCGGCTGCGGCCAACATTCGAAATTTGTCCTTAGTAGCCATGGCTGGAAATGCGTCCGAGGCGCCGCTCCCCAGCATTTCTTCATGGAAATGGATGGGCTGCCGGGCTTTTAGAAAAACAGACTAGACTTCCGCTTGTCGGCGGTGTTTTAGCCGACGTCAATCAAAAATGGTCTTATGAATTTTGAAACGAGAAAAAGAGCGTTTGAAATAGACAAGAGGCTAGCGATGTATTAGCGTGAAACCACACGTCATTTGGTGTGAATAGTACAGTACTAAACCCTTTTAACCCATCCAAAACCGGCCGTAGAAGTTGCAACGACTGAACACATTCAAACATTCTTTATTCCGATCAGTCTCAAAGGTTAGCATACTTCCGGCAAATCGCCACATCAAACGCATTGTCGCACGAGTTTTCGTTCCACTTTCCGGCGTAAGTTGAACTGGAAAAACGATCCCCTTAGAATCTAGTGAAATCAGTCCAAATGTTTTTATTGATTGTAAACCGCGCCCCGGACATTGACCTCCGAAAGGTTCGACGTACTAATAGAAGCTCTTTTTTAAATCCCGATGGTTGAAATTGGGTTATGTTCAGGGTTGTTCACCGACGGACCCGGATCGGTAAGGATCCGGATCGGATCTGGATCCGGATCCGGATCGGATCCGCAGTAGGATCCGGATCCAGATCCAGATCCGGATCCGCTCGGATCCGGATCCAATGCGGATCCGAGGAAAAAAGGGACCGGAAGTAATATTCTTGATTCTGATGCTGATTCGGTCATGTTAATCGCAAAAATACATAGCCCAGAGGCAGAACTGATCTTTGCATCTAAGAATTAGCACTTAACTCGGTTGCATGATCCATTTGCTTGGATCCGGATCGGATCGGATCCGCCCTGGATCTGGATCCGGATCCGGATCCTACGGCGGAGCCGGATCCGGATCCGATCCAGATCCAGATCCGGATCCAGTCCGATCCGAAAATGACCAACCCTGGTTATGTTCATTTTTCCTAAAAATCATTTTTCCTAAAAATCATTTTTCCTAAAAATCATTTTTCCTAAGTTCCGTTTTCCTAAAATTTTTCATTCAATAGCGATGCGTAAAAATATCAAGAAATTCCAAATGCTATCATTTCTTAGCAGTATTTGTTTGGTTTAGTTATTAGTAGGCTTTTATCTAAACCCTTTCTCATTATCATTGATCCTTTTTCACTTCCAATCACCCAAATCTAGGCTAAACGCGCAACTAAAATACTTCCTATGACCACGCTAGGCATTTCTAAATTATGAAAAATGTCAATTTTTGGATGCATAATACTAAAAAACCGAGACTTTTTCGATATTTAAGTGTTTTTAGGAAAAATGAACTTTAGGAAAAAGGACTTTAGGAAAAATGATTTTTAGGAAAAATGACAGTAATTCGACGTACTAATAGAAGCTCTTTTAAAATCCCGATGGTTGAAATTGACGCATTCGTGTGAGAAAATTGGTGGGAAAAACTCTGCTAGTTCCTAAAACTTACAAAACTAAGTTCTACTTCAATTTTTTTGTTGCAGGTATGAGCTATAAAATGGCCGAATACCTCCCAACCCTGCAACCTTTTTAAAACATTAACCTTTATCAGCTTTTAGAAAGTTTAGCCTTTTTAAAAAACCTTTGAAAGTTACCTAAAGTCATTGCCCTCGCGTAGTTGCATCTAAAAAAACGTGCTTTTGTTAGTTTCCCATTTTAGTCGCTAAAGATACCTCAAGACAGCCGCTACCGGCCTTTGCAATTTTCGATTCATCCTCCAAAAAGTTTTTGTAGTCCATCGGACTTCCGTCGGCCCAGGTCCAGCCGAACTAAAATGCCGATCCCATTACCAGACTTCCAAGTTCACGGCGTGCCCAAAACACTGAAAAACTTACTTCCTTCTGACAAAGCGTGCGTTCTGGTGTAAAACACGGATAATCATTCCACCGGCCGTCGGGGCGCAGCTAAAATGGTACAACTACAATCTTACAGGTGCATTTTCATAGCTAACCTGCAAGCAATACTCCTCCACCCGGGCAAAATCCATCAAAAAGTGGTCCCAATTTGTGTAGTTCATCGATGATTTGTCGTTCCAGACATAGTCATACTTGGCGGTACCGGTCTAACGAATTTAGTTTACCTTACTAGTCAAAGTTTTACCCTGGAAGCGTCCAACCACGCGAAATCCCGACCAGCAGTGCGCTTTTGTGAATGCTATAATACAGTGTGTGCCAAAATGATAGGGGAATGAAGTTTTTGGTCGTTTTCTTGGCGGTCCTTTATGTAGCTGTAAAACCGAATGACAGGCTCTGTAGTCCAGAAAAATGCGCATCTTTTGGTCTACTTGAAATCTTTCTACGATGCAGGATAACAGTTTTACAAGCAATTGAATAAAAATAGGGAAAAAACACAAATGACAAAATGATAGGGGAATCATTTACATATCATTTCCATCAATTTTCCGTATGAATAGTGGATGCTAATTAGATGCAAAATTTGACCGACGACTTCCGGTCAGAATTTTGGCCAGAAAATACTATTTTTACATCTTCTCCGGCTATGATTCTGTAATTACAATCAATCAACATCCACTATTCATACAGAAAGTTGATGGAAATGATATGTTAATGATTCCCCTATCATTTTGTCACTTGTGTTATTTGCCTATTTTTATAAATTCGCTTCTAAAAACGTGATTTTCTGGCATAAAGAGCTTTCAAGTAGACCAAAAGACGCGTCTTTTTTCGGGCTATAAGATCTATGATTTTGTTTTACACGGAAATGGAGGACGGCCGAGAAAACGGCTAAAAACGCCATTCCCCTATCATTTTGGCACGCACTGTATGTTATTTCAGGAAAACAGTATTCAAGTTACCGTTAGCAAATTGATTCTCAGCTGAAGAATGGATAGTCAACACTCGGGACCCAATCTGTTGGCATTGTTTGGTGGCTTCAGAGAATAGAAGCATAGTATCGAGGAACTGAAAATTGACTTATGAGAAAGAGAGAGTGAGAGAAAGGGAGAGGAACCGATCGAGCGAGCGATAGAGAGAGAGTGAGAGGAGAGAGGAGAGAGCCCGTTAAAAATTGACTAGCAAGAAGAGATTGATGTTTTTGGACAGTCCCACTGAAGCCTTGTGCATACCTTGTAACACTTATTAGTTCCGTCTCCCTGTGTCCACCCGCTATCGCAAGAGGTTCCCTAAAAAGAGATAAACCTCTCTCGGTATCGTGAATACTTGTTTAGCTCCGAGCAGCAGAGTAGGTGCTCGTCGACTGAAATCGTCTAATCCTCCCCGTTGTCGCAGCGACTTTACGGCCAATTCTAAAATTGCGTTGTTAGAAACCAGGGTTTTCATCTACCAAGCAACAGCCTGTTCTCTTCGGCCGAGCGTATTGTCGCTACGACCGCATTCTTCGATTGGCAATCTTGGCGGGCTTGGCCGGCAGTGGCCGAATTCACTGCCTGGAGCAGCTATGTAAAACTACGGTGATTTCCTTACCAAGTAGCAGCTTCTGGTTTTACGGGAATAAGTCCATCCGCGATCACAAGGATCCTAAAGCTCGCGAGGTTCAAAAATTAGAACATGGCAGCTTACCTCATTGGAACGGCTGGCAGAAAATCGGGGCTTCTTTGGCTTCTTGGCTTTCTATTTAGGCATTTCGATGTTAATATTAATCCTCTCTTTTGACCTGTTCCTTGCGACAAGCCATCACTCGATTGCCTTGGTCGCACTTGACATGGTTCCATTTTCCAGCCCCAGTCGATTGAATGTTAAACCGGAGGCTCTTTGTGTTGTCGAAATTCCAGTGACGAACGTACATCTAAAAAAGGCTTAGGATGTATTTATCATACGTCCAATACTACATATTACGTTTTTTTACCTCGATACACCCCTTGTCGTCCTCCCACTCTTCTTCGGAGGATTCACGATGGTACCAGTTTGTATATTTGAAGGGTCTGTCGTTCATCCAACGCCAGCGACGCCCGGCTCGTCCTCTCTGAAGGCAAATACAAAGAAAATTGACTAGCTGTATCGAAGCAGATCTTGATTCTTTCTTTCTCACCTGGACGCTTCGCTTAGCTTTTCCCTCATACCCATCAACATTCTCCTTCTGATCAAATAAATCTCTGTGATCAAAGTCTTTCTGGCCACCATCAGATATCACGGTGATCTCCTAAAACCAACAAAAATCGTAGCTAAAGTGAAGATTTCGAACCTGTTTTGCGCCCAATAAAAATATATCTGTTTTCTGTACCCGGGCAATGATGCCAAATTCTAAAACCATTCAAAACGTCATATCAGATAGAGAACAAACCCAAAAGATCCAGATTCTCGTCTTCATCTCCAGCTGAAGCCACTGTTGCGTCAAATTCGTCACAGGCAGCTGCGGCTTTTGAAAAGGCGATATTTCGAAGTATCTAAGTTTTTCTTTAAATACTTTTAAAATTAAAAATACCTTGAAACATGTTCTTGTCCGGTTCATGGCTGTCCAGCCGTCCTCACAGCCTAACTAAAGCAGTTCATAGCTATTTTTAGAGCGAATAAGTATGCATTTCAAAGCCATTCAAATCCTACCTGATCACAGCTGTCCGTGTCCTCACATTTGTGCCCCAGGGCTATCGTACCCAGCGCCGAGAGGAGTATCAAAAGTTTTACGGTCATGTGGCGCGAAAGGGTGCACGAAATACAGGACCACGACCGCCGTGTGAGATTTTCAAGGAGCAGACAGTAGTCATGTTATGGCGTATGAACATAAATCACCCTGGTGCGGCCATAACAAAATGTTATGGGTTGTGCGAACCGTTACACGATATTCGCTACGGAGATCGACTCGTTATGCGTGGGAAGGTGACGACGTGCGATAACGGGCTGGTTTCAGTCAATAAACTCCATAAAATAAAATTACAATAGGACGGATGTAACCGTCCGGATTTAAAGGAACTCTAACATAATTGAAACTTAGCGCGTGCAGGGGCCGGGCAGAGATGCAGACCTTGTCTGCATCTCTGATTGGATCGCTTTCACCGATCGTTAAATTATTTATTTTATCCCGAGTCCGTTTTTTTGCTTTCATCTGCTTCATCGTCCATTGTGAGCTGAAAAATGCAATGGCCAGAGAAACCCAAATGGATTTGCTATCATTTTGCCGAAACTTTCATTTCCTCGAAATTGAAATCGAAATCGAAATATTGTCGAAATTTCAATTTGCCGAATGTTTGAGAAAAATAATCGAGGTGGACGAGGCATTGAAATTTCGACAAAATGAAAGTCCCAGAAAATGATATTTCGACAAAATTAAAGAGGCCACCCAAATAGATGCCGGAATTCACGCGGCCACTTACCTGCAGTTGCAGCTACGCTTGGGATTACGGCTCCGAACGCCCATTTCTGGCATGCGGCTGCGGAACGTTTGGATGTACAGTTGTAATCGTTCCATTTGCCCAGGTTAACAGTTCTAAAGTTGAACGTGCCGATTCTTAACGCATAGCTTAAAGGACTGCCGGCGGCATTTGTCGATCCCCCCCGCCCCCATCAACAAATTGGCAAGTAGCCAACAGGGCCCAGGGGAGAGGCGCAGAGACATTTTCTGTCCAGTGCGTAACCCATTGGCTATGCCGTCGGTATCCCTTTAAGACACCCACCTCACGTCCTTGTAACTACCATTGGCGAGATATACCTAAAAATTAAGTTAAGGCAGCGAAGAAGAGGGCCGGTACCTCCAAGCAATCTTCGTCTTTTCCCCCGTCTTGGTCCGGTTGTCCCTGTTCCCAATTTGTGTAGGTCATCGCGGAACCGTCATCCCAGAGGAAAGAAGTGTTATTGCTCGGTGACTATAGAGATAATGGGGAATTTTCAGAGCTGCTCGCAGGGCGGATCGATGCTTACCCGATGTGCTCCAAGCAGCAGCGTGGGACCGGCCCACTCTGGGAAGTAGACGGTCAAGGCGGTTTTGGACTGCGCTGCTAGCCCTTGTTGTGCCATATCTGCAAGGTGCTCAAATAAAAAACACAGCCCTCTGTCTCGACGGAGAAGTATCGGTTCGGAACGACAGATACACCTTTCGAAAGTCCTTGAAAAGACGAGTTCGCACCAATATTTTAACCGTGTTTTTATGTAAACGAGCATTTTTATAACGATCTCAAAACCCGGATGGCACTCCCTCTGCATCTAATTAACCGCCACCTCGGTCATTTTGCTTGGAGAAAAATTATTCAACTCCGAAATCAGCTCGTATGCATCTCCGAAAAACCGGAAGATTTTCCAAAAAAGCCGTAAAAATAGCGCGTTTAAATGAAAAAAAATGGTTCTGAAGCTTGATGAAAGCTCGCCGTTGAAGGGCTTTCGAATGGTGTTACTTTAATTACGATCCGATACTTGTGTCGAATTAGAGGGGGGTGTTTTTGATTCGGTCACCCTGTAAAACCTTTAGTTGATCTGGATTCGATGCTTTGTGCACAAATCGCTAGCTGATTTGCATTGCATGATTACTCCGTGAACTATTCACCCAAGAAAAGCTTGTTCTCCTCGGCTGAATGGATGGATGCGATGCTGGCATTTTGCTGCTGGCATCGTTGCTTCGCCTCTTCCCCAGTAACGTCATAGATAATCTATTCCGGTCGTCCGCCTTCGAGTTAATAGATACCTGTACGCATCGTTCTGTCGAACCCACAAGGGTCCAATTGGGGCTGCAGTGCAACTAAATTCGTTCGTTTGGTACACATGTACACACAAACGAAATCACTGTTCCGAAATATCATTTTGTCGAAATTTCTTGTTTCGAATCGGGGGCAAAAGGTCACCGACCTCCACTGCAAGCTCAGCTTCTTCCGACAAAAACTGAAAAGCCTCACATCCGGTCAGGCTGCAAAAATTCTAGCAAACCTCTTCCTCCTCGTCCCCGGGTGGCGGAGTCGCAAGCGTTCTGTCCCAATCCGTTTCATCGTCAGCGCTATGTAGCACTCTTTCGAAAGTTACCACCTCTACGTCCGCTTCCGGCGTTACTTCACTTCTAATCGTTTCATCTAGGGCAGCAGCCAACATGGCTCCTAACAACTTTGTGTCTGCCGTTGTTTGTCAACAAACCAAACGCCAGAAACAATAGGGGTGACCTGGATCGCATGTTGGGAAAAAATTTCTGGGCTGGGTTCTTTTCGGATTTCACAGATACGGCCCTGATTAAAAATTCCGGGCTGACAATCTGACTTGCTAATTTCGGCAGCCTTTGCAAAAGCCGACCGCCGGGGGTCTGATTCGGAAACAATTGCCACAGGCCTGCACGTTTCTATCCGACGTTTCTGTGTTGCTTGGAACCTGGGTCTTTAATGAAAATGGTGGCTCAAAATAACTGAAATCGGACAATCTTTCATCGTCGCCCAGAACGACGCTCAAAAGGTGCCCGGGATAGATTGGGGTCAGATACACCGGATGGTTCGGTGCACTAATTCCATGAATTTGGTTCACGAAAATAAAAATCCTGAGAAAACCTTGCATTCGTGCATCAAAGGCCTCGTGACGCCTCGTCAGGTTATCCGGGAGAACGTTCCAACCAAGTCTACAATGCCAGGATCAGACCGATTTTCACAAAACTGGCGGCTGTACGTTTTTGAAGTTTGCATGGTCGTGCACCACGCCAATCCCTTTGCGACTGCAGGAAATTAATTTTATTCGATTAGTTTTATCCTGTCGGTCCGTTATTAGCTGGGGTTCTGAAAACATAGAGGATTAAACAATGCATTTATAGTCTCACTCTCTTGCAAACCGGGAATCCTCCGGCCGCCGCGCAATCCGCATCAACCCAGCGATGAGCCTCTGGGCCGGTCTTTGTATTCACCAACTATAAGAGAGCGTGCGTATCGTTTCTGATGTTTCTTCAATACCAAAACGCATCCACCAGTCCGTTCCGCTTCAGCTATATGTCCTCTGGCCCAGTAGGCAACGTTAAATGGCTCCTTGTCCATCCACACATATTGAGTACCGTCCTAAATGGAGTGCCAAGCTTTATTGCATACCGGAAGTGACCAAGGCCGTCTTACCCTGATCGCTCCAATCCATACTTTCCCGACAGTACCAGCCAGATCTACGTACGGTATTCATTATTTTTAATAGGTTTACCGAGCACAAACTCATTCTCCCCGTACGACGTCACAGAGGTCAGGTTCCCGCCGGCTTTCAGACATTTTTCCACGGCATCAGCTTTGTTGGCGGCTTCCGATTCGACCTATGAAAGCTGAGAAACCGAAGGCCTCGCAGTTTTACCTTGTAACACTTTTGCGTATATTTGTAGGGCGTCCAGCCATCCGGGCAGTTCGGGTTTGCGAGAACCGGGTTCTAAAATGGGATAATGCCGAAATCGAAGAAAAATTGCGCTTACGACTATTGGCGTCTTGCACACTGCTTCAAAAAGTGCGGAACACGCCACCTGGGCATAAGTACGGGCTGGCTAAATGGCAAGATTACGAATTATTTTTTCAAGATAAGCTGAAATGGCTTTCTTATTTACGAAAATGGCGTGTAAATTGGGCCTTTTCATTGCTTTTTTTATGAAAATTGTCAAAACCGAGCGGAAAATGACCATTTTTCGAAAATTACTCAAAATCGCGTTGCTAGTTGCTAGAAAACAGCCAAAAATGAGTGCAAGTGTCTCCAAAAACTCAGTTTTCTAGCGATAGCTTTTTTGTTTTACAATATTTTGCCCATATCATTTTGCTGCACGTAGTTTGTGTGAGAGCGCCTCGCTGGTAAAAATTTGGTCCCGGTCCGATTGAAGACGGCCAAATTCCGAGGGGTCACTCTGTCCATACCAGCAGCACGTAACAATCTTCGGTTTCCACCGCCAGCTGTGCATCGAAAGTGCCCGTCATTGCGGAGCTGTCGCTCAGCCAAACCCGAGACAACACGGAGCCGTTCAGCACCGCCTAAAGACGAGGCGTAACATAAACGAGACGTTTTAGAAGCCTGACCTTTCCGGCCCCGACCCACATGTTGTGACCCGGGCTTTCCTTGGCCATGACATCTTAACCCAGCCATCAGTTTTTAGGACCCAAAACGAACGTGTGGAAATGATTTGCATCTCGCTATCATCCGTGATTTTGGCCAGGTGACCGTCGTACTTGTTGGAGCACTCGGCTTCGACATCCCAGTAGCTTTTGCCTTTCAGCACCTAATTTAATTTGGTTTCGGTGAATCTCGCGCTTTTCGACCGAGCCTATTTTTACAAAATGTTCGGAATTTTCATTTCCTTTTCTTTTCTTCGGAATTTTATTGTTAAATATATGCAGCGGATTCGTTTGCCGCAGTTAACATGATTTTCAGGCAGTTCCGGATCATTTTTGGTCTTTTTGTAATATGAATTGTAACCCCCTCAGAATCGCTAATTGCGGATTTGTGATAAAGGTTCAGAATCTGCGTGAAAATCGACGTCGGGCAGACCCGGTTTGAACGTTTTGGTACCGACTACTCGGATCGGAACGGATCGGGCAAATTTCCATGCCGATCGCAGGAGGCTAGAAGAAGATCTCGATCGAGTATGGGAGCGGATTAACATGCAAATTAATCCGATCCAGTTCGATCCGGGTACCCGATACCAAAAGGATCAGCTGGGTCTTGTTTCAAAACGCAGTAATTCATAAAAAAAAACACGTCTTTAGCTATGCCTACCTTGTAGCAACTGTTCGGACCTGTCCACTGTTTCCAACCATCCCCTTCCGGGCATTTGTTCCTTACGCCCGGAGTTGTAGTGGTCGTCGTGGTTGTAGTTGTCGTCACTTTCGTTGGTTTCGGGCCGGGAGCCTAGAGATTCGTGGATGTTTCGGGAAAAAAGGTAATATAATCGTTCTACTTCTCTCACGTCAGACATTCTGTTTTTAACCATCGGTTTTTAACCCTTACGGGGGTGTGGTCCGTTTTCGCCGGCATGTTCGCTGTTCCATTACATGGGCATGGCTGGCAGAAAAACACTGGCGCTGGCGTCTTGGGCTTTTGGGTCTAAAAGTAAGGTTGGTACGCAGGAACTCCATTTTTAAAGGTGTGACATACCTCTTTCTCGTTGACCTCCGCCGTCTCGCAGACAACCGCTACTTTCTGGAAAGCAAGTGATTAGGATTTAGTAAAATTACATTTATCCTCTTGATATCGGTTGCTAGCTAGAACGTTACAAAATCAATCTACCTTTTTAGCTTGATCTGACCCGACCAGCTTGGCACCAATCCTAAATTCAATTCGTCATGTAGGGAGAAAGCGACAGATATGAAAAGCAGTAATAGCAATCCCAACTTGATGCAGATTGTCTTGGCCTCTTCTGCCGGCAGTTCCAGACCAAAATTCAGTTCGCAACGGGAGGAAGCGCTTTTGAAATTTGTTGGACAGCCGGCTGACGAAAGGCCTATTTTTAACGATGTTAATCTTCCGTGGAAAACAATCCTACCAGCTAGAAACAACAAGGACAGGACCTTAGCCAACATGGCCGTAGGAAACTCCGAGCTTCGGAACTTCTGCTTTTCCGGTTTGTCGCGGCCGACGAAAAACACTTGAGATGCGCATTTCGTATCGGAAGATCTGCATTTTTGCGGCGAATTCAAAGATGATCGGCGATCTCAAAGCATTTGCAAGAACAATTTCGAAATTTCAACAGTCGGCTAAGAATCATCGGGTAGCTGGACTTGGAACAAGCGCGAGTTTCCGGTGGAGAGCGTGGCAGAAAGAAGTGCCCAGCAAACGACACAATCGAAATACTGCTTTCCTAATTCGTTCCACGACATTACAAGGCTCCATTCAAGCGATTTGCCATCAAAATTACTTGCTTGTTGTGAAACTTAATTTTACAGGATTCGTGAAGACAATGCTGTGTTTTTATTTACTATCGTCCTAGGCAGAAAGCCATAATTTCTATTCGCGATGAAACGCTTTAACGCTGTATCTTTATCAAGCAATAGCCAAGGAATTTTCACTTATTTCTTCCCTCCATCATGAAGCTTCCGCAGCTTTGCCTCGGTCACGCTTGTGGCCGGCTAAAAAAAATACTCATCGGTGGACTCCAGCCCTCAACCTTCTCACCTTCATGCAAGCGACTGCGGCCTTGGAGTTTTCACAGTGGGCGTTCGACCAATAGCGCGGCCAGCCGGCCTTGACAGATGGCCCATTGCCAAACAACTTGAAATCAGGACCATTTTGAGGCTTTGGTATCGAAAAGTGCCTGTAGACAGCGACCGTTTGCCAAATTTGGCTTCGTTCCTTCAACCCAGGCCTCCAGTCCCCACGGTGAGTCGTCCAGCCAGCTCCAATTATCTTTCATGTCCTGCAAAAAAGCCGCGTAAAAATGACCTTGTGGCCATTAAAAGGTCTGCGATCCCACCAAGCACGGAAAATGGCGCTGCGTTTGCGCCGCCGTGGCTGAACTTGTAAAATACCGGTGATACCTTTTCGGAAAAAAAAATGTGTTTGGCGCATTAAAGGGCTGGCGCCAACATAAATCTAACAAGGAGATGGTCTCCACTGGGAATCGAATTCGGATTTGAAAATTTGCACACTTATAGAGCTCGACGAGACAAATCGATTGGTGTAACTTTCAGCTGCTGATACAATAACCACGCCGAGTTATAAGCATTTTAAGTTTTTGCATACATTTTGCAATTTTTCGGCCATAGCTTCATAGGTCTTCCCCGCCTCCCCCTCACCATGGGCTGGTGCCCTAGTGGTGTAGTAGGCGGCCTCCGGGGAATCTAACGAGGGTTCGAACCCGCTCACGATTTTTATTTTTTTGCTTTTTTGTCCGATGGTTCCTCTTTGCTTTCTGAAGACCTTGAATAGCTTTTTACGCTTTATTTTAACTCCTCTGGTGCCAAATTGCTAAAAAACATCTGTTTGAAAAAATTTAGATTTTTTACCCGAAAAGACTATGCCGGTCCCAAAATAAATTGAAAATTCAAAGCATATCAAAAATCGTGGAGTAAACGTAATTTTGGTAAATGGTGTGTTATCCGAACAAAAACTTTCATCCGCGAAATTTTTTTGGAAATGGTAGTCATAGGTCGGACAAGGGCTCGATGCCCAGCAAGAAAAATTTTTGCGGTGAAGTTCGATGTTGTCGGCGCATCAAAGGAGTTAAAATAAAGCGTAAAAGCTATTCAAGGTCTTCAGAAAGCAAAGAGGAACCATCGGACAAAAAAGCAAAAAATAAAAATCGTGAGCGGGTTCGAACCCTCGTTAGATTCCCCGGAGGCCGCCTACTACACCACTAGGGCACCAGCCCATGGTGAGGGGGAGGCGGGGAAGACCTATGAAGCTATGGCCGAAAAATTGCAAAATGTATGCAAAAACTTAAAATGCTTATAACTCGGCGTGGTTATTGTATCAGCAGCTGAAAGTTACACCAATCGATTTGTCTCGTCGAGCTCTATAAGTGTGCAAATTTTCAAATCCGAATTCGATTCCCAGTTGAGACCATCTCCTTGTAAGCATTACGTGGATTCTTGGAACTTTGCCAGATTTCGCTGAATTTGCGCTCCAAACAACCCTTATCAACAAAACAGCGCACTAATGAGACTCTGCAAGGCGCGCAGCTTTGATAACGCGTGCCCCCAGGCTATGTCTTGGGCGGGGAAAGGGTCGTTTGGAGTCGCGAGTGCGTAACATCTGCGAGAACTGGCAAGCTTCCAGCAATCCAAGTAACGCTTAGATCCCTGCTTGCGCTATAACTTTAAACGCATCTTGACTACCATTAACGCGCCGAAATGCAGACGCGGGCTGTTGGCCGGCGCAAACCGGCCAAATACGGCAAGCTTCGCGGAACGTAACGCAGGGCTGATGCCTTTCAAAACACACTACAGAAACGTTCGTCGATTGAGCGCTAGGACGTACCAAAGAACCTCCAATCCATATCGCTAGCAGATGTTCCTTGCTGATCAATTCTAGAGTGGCAAGCTGCTGGTATTACGTCCGAAAATCTTACGAGTCAAGAACGCATTTTCCGTGACGTTCGACGGGCAGACGATCGTGCCCCCTTCACCGACGCAATAATCTTTGGCCTCCATGAAGTTCCTCATAGTGCCGTTTACCTAAAGTTCGACCTCACAATGTTCAACAAAGAGCGGAAGTCCTCAAAACACGATCTAGTTTTACGTTCTTTTTGCGTTTTCCCGCACATCCTGACACTTCGAGCTTTCTAACTTAGGACGTCATAGAGTTCTTGCGCTTCCACCCCCAAGATCTCAACCCGATCGGAAATAACACGGCCAAATTCCGGAGGGGGGTACAAGACACCCCTAGACCCTTTACCTTGTAGCACATCTTGCTGTGCGGCCCCGCCATCCAACCTTCAGGGCATTCAAGTTTAGGGGCTTCAGGAACCTAAATCAAGCGTTTTATGGCCTAATGACCAGATCGTACCACATCCAGCGGAAGCTCACACACTGTAAAAGCTTTCGATTCACATGAAATTAGGCCCGCCTTCAGCACACCCTACGAGATGTTTTTATTTAGTTACGATATGCATCGAGATATATCGCATCTGAATAAGCCATCGGAATTGAAAAAGACTAGATGCTGTATAGATAATCGCATCTGAATTGGAATCTGGCTCATGGAGACAAGATACTCTCGGAATATCGTTTTGCATATCGGATTAAGGGAAATTAGGGCGATCGACAGGATGCAAATCGAAAACGGATGCAAATCGAAAGCTTGTCTTGGAATTGCCTAAAATTTTGTTTTTTTTATGCAGATTGGTCCGATATGCAACGGTTATTCCGATATATCGAATCTGGGTTGGGTCTCGCCGATCCTAGAAGCGATAATCGTATCTCGATTGCCCGGACTTGAATCTAGAGACGATACAGGGGGTCCCAAAAAAACCCCTACCTAGCGTGCCGCAGTCGAGTCCGATTTTTGAAATTAGCGAATAAAAATACGGAATAAAAAATGAACCCTTTTCGTTTTTCGCCTTTTCGAGAGTTTTCGAAAAATACCTAAATCATAAAAATCGGACTCGACCGCGGACCGCTAGGTACGGGGTTTTTTGGGACACCGGGTATGCAAATTGCCGTGAATGCAAAATTCTTAATATCGTATCTGAATTAAAACATCTCTAGTACACCCTCACGTACATCCTCTGTTGCCCAATCAGTAGGCAACATGGCGCATCCAACCTGAACAAAGCGTTGCGGGACAAATCATGCTGACCGTTATGTCCTCCTGGCTCGTTCTTCCTGGTGTCGTTTCGAGGCTTACCTTGGGCTTGCCGTGGATCCACATCTCTGCCGGCATCTATAAATGGATATAGCAACTTCACGGGAGCCGGAAGTGCCAAAAACTTGAGTTGTGGCTCGAAACCCGGAGCCCTGTATATCGAAGGGGTTTGCCCAGCGAGTGCGAGGAAACGGGCAAACCGTCCTTTAACGATCGTGGCCATACCTTTGTGACGCCCATCCAGATGGAACCGGTATTCTCGGTCGCGTTTGTGAAGGCCGCATGGTCTTCACGTTTTGGGATCGTGGTTATCAGATGTGAATTTTTGGCGGCGCACTCCAGTTCAGCTTCCCAGAAATTTAGCTTCTTTCCGGTTTTCTAGAAAATACGCTAGGTTTTAGAGCCCAATTTTTAATGGTTTTACGAGGAAGCAGCTTTCCCCAAATTTCTTCCATGGCCTTTCGCAGGTGTCTGCTTGTATATAAGCGATGCCTAGAATGGAGAACACAATGAAGATTCGAAGACAATCGGATCGGTATGGATTGTCGAAATACAATTTCTTTGAACATTACCTGCAAACAACCATATAATGCCAAATTTGTTCATCGCGCTTTTCTAACGATGAAAGTGAAGTTTTTGGCCTTGCCGTGGCAGATTTTATACAGCGTTCCGCCGGAAAAGACCCCGACCACCATCATTTGTAAGGCAAGAGCAAAAATCAAAAAACAGGCAGACGACTTTGAAGCGGACTGGGACGCCCACGCCTGCGATAATCCACTGTCAAAAATCCTATTGTCTCGAAATTACAAAACCATAAACAACAAAAATTATATTTACTCCTCCGAACTGTCATGGTTCCTGATGTTTAACATTGTCGACTCAGCAAAGCCGATTTCATCTAGAACCGGTAACACGTAGACGTTTTTGAGTGACAACCCAATTTTGGGCTGACCAAGCCTGCTGACAAGGAGATGCCAAATCGGCTCGCAAACGCAAGAATAACGCATATTTTCAATGCTATTTGCTTAGATCCCCATATTAAATTCAAAATGAAATGTATTTTCGCTATAATTTTAAAACTAGCAGGCCGAACGGGCTGAAACTTCCCATAGACATGGGAAATTGGCTTCGCTACCTCTTTGCAAAGTTTCAGCTCCGTAGGTGCCCTCGGGTTCAAATTTTTGGGGGATCTTTTTTTGTGACACCCTGTATAGCGGTTGACTAATGTCTTGACGCCAGGAAACAAGCGCTGACGTGCAATGTTGTAGCTTTAACAAAATCTTTATCGCAGGGTCGTCGGTTACTTCTTGCCGGCATGCAGCTTCCTATCCAGATCTGCTGGAGTGACCTTATTGGGTTTCTGCAAAAACGTTGTGTTGGTTTCTGTTTTAAGTCCAGTACAGGAAATTGCCGCGCACTTACCTTCTTGCATACAACTGCCGTTTTCGCGTTTTCACAATTTTCGCCTGTCCAATACCGTCGCCAGTTCGCTTTTATGGATGCGCTCTTGCCATGCAGCTGAAAGAGACTCTTACAGTAGTTCTTTGTTGAAATGCCTGCAGACAGCGACTCGTCTTATTGTCGGGTGCCTTCCCATCGACCCAGGCCGCCATCCCCCACTCCGAGTCGTCAAGCCAGCTCCATTTGTCTTTCATGTCCTGTAAATCCTCGAATTCCAGCCAGTACATATACAGGGTGTCCCAATAAAAAAGGTCACGCTGGCATTTCGCCTTTTCAAACCTTTTCGATCTGAAATTTGGAACAGGGCTGCGGAAGGGAAATTAAAATGTTCACAGAAACTATCAGCCCGATCGGTACAGCAGTTTTCGAGTGATAACAAAAATACTGTTTTTTCAACAATTTTGCTTCTTGTTCGGCTCTTTTTTTACTTTGCATCAATTGACATAAATTTCGGCCCTAAATCCCTCATTCTTCTTAATATCGGGGATCATAACACCTTATTAAAATTACATAAACGACCTGTTTCCAAGACGAATTTTACGAAATAAAAATTTTCTGGGGTAAAAAGGTCGGCGCTTCATTTTTGCCAGACATTCCATGGCTCAATTTCGGCGAAATTCAGGTTAAAAACGTAAAATAGAGTTTGTTTTTGCTATAACTCGAAAACCACTGTACCGATCATGCGGAAAGTTTCTGTGAACATTTTAAGCTTCCTATGCGCGATTTTAAAAACCACCATTTCGAAAATGAGCATTTCGAAAATTGATGAGCGAGAAAAATATTTGGTGAGTTTGGAAATCGTGTTCCCCACCCAACGTTACAAACACACCAGCGATCCCCCAATCCAAACAGCCAGATACTTTTGTTCCGCCATGTAGTCTGGAACAAATCTTATAGGAGGATTGGAACAACAACAGGGGCACGGTTTCAAGTATTGGGCCTTAGCTAGACTCACTGAATAAAAATGCGTTCTCAACCGGCGTCGGCGCACAAGCCATGGTACCACCTTCTTTGGCACAGTAGTCCTTGGCCTCTATGAAGTTTCGTAAATCGCTGCTCCCCTGAATGGATAATCAATGTCTGCACGCAGGCGGAATACTGTATTCCGTCGGCCACACTAAAATTTTCTGCTGGTATCCTTGTTTTCTGCTAATTAAGTGGGCACCGAAGTGTCAATAAAAGAGTTACAGCCGGAAAACCGGAGCCCTGTACGTCGAATGCCTCGGTACGGCCAGAGCCCAGGGCGCGGGAAGCGCGTGAATATGAAATTCCCCATCGTCACCTCTCACGCCCAGAAATAGCGGCAATAAGGGCCTAAGCAACGCGACGCTCCATTCGTCAAGAAAATGTATGGGGCCCAAATTTCGAAGCCTTATAACTTCAAAACTAAAGGGAATCTTAAAAAAGTCGATTTCCAACTTTGTAGAATGGGACACGGCGATTCTAATGATACCAAGAACTAAGAAAACTGAATTCAAAAAGTATCGAAACGAAGGCGATTTTTATTTCGTTTGAATTTGGGGGGATTTGCCGGGCTTTGCAGGGTCGTTTGTATTGGTGTGTAGCGAACGGCCCTGGGAATGAGATAGCCTATTGAAAACTTAAAATGCTTATAAAAATCTGCTGCTTCATTGTTAAGACATGTCCAGTATACCAAAAAATTCTCCTTTTTTCGGGCTACAAAACGGACGACCGGTCAGGATGCCTACATGCCAAATCGCTGAGAAAATTACGAAAAAAGTCGAGCCACCTATCCTTTTGTCACAAACTGTAGTAAGAAAGTAAAAGGAAACGCCTGGTATTGATTCTATCGCCAAATTATATTTTATTTCATTTATCTTTTACATTTGCCTATCGGATTACCCAACTAAAAGATTCGAACCCAATGTTGCTTGCCGTTGTGGTACGTACGTGCCGTGTAACGCCCCGTAGCCTTCCGCCTCAAATTGCCGAAAATCTATGCATTTGAATGGGCGTGCTCTAGAATCCCGTTCTCGGCTGTGTCAGAGCCAAATTTCGTGATTAAAACACCAAAATGACTTTAAATTGAGGGAGGATTCCAGAAATCCAGGAATACAGGACCCTACTCGCCAAATATTAAAGGTTCTATTCGCGGCGTATAACTGCGTCATTATTGGCAAAATTAACAAATTGATACCTTATAGCACATTTGGTCATGCTGGGCGGCCGTCCAACCGGCCTCACATTCGATCGCAGGGGCAAGAGACGTCTAGAAACCGGCCTCTCGTACCCGCCAATCGACTTACAGACCCCGGGGTTAGCTCGCACACCCCTAATTCTGTTGCCTCACACGATTGATGTTTCAGCTGTCTTTCCTTGATCAGGGACTTGTCTGCCCCCACTATGGTCTCTTCGCGTAGAATGAAACACCATTGCGATGCCGCAAGATCGTCAGGTGTGAGACCGACTTCCCCTTGGATCCAGCGCACTTCCGGCATCTACAGGATACCGTTATTGTTATGATATAGTGGCGTACGTGGGTGCCGCCGATCCAAACGTGACGCGAATCTGTCCAGCTCCTGAAGGCGTCTCGGTCTGCCTCCGGGACGATCGTCGTCATGAGATGCGCGTTGGCTTGCGCGCATTGCAGGGCGCTGTCCCAGAAATTGGCGTGTGCTTGCACCTTCTAAACGGATGAGATAAAAGCAGTGGCTTAAGGGAATTTCACCCCCGCCGCCCAGCCCCTATCTCGGCTCCCCGTTATCCTACGGGGTTGTAAGGTATGCCAAACTACTGGCTAAAGCAAGACGAACATTTTCGCATACTTTAAAGACCCTTAGAAAGATGGCCGAGCGTCCCCGGGAGTGAGGGACCGACGGTGGACTACTATCCACGTAATTCAGATTACGAATTCGTAACTTTTATGCAAAGCGTAATTTCGGCGCAGGACAAAACGAGAAACCCGGAAACGGTCAGTTGAAGGGCCCTAGGGTAGTTGAGGGCTTTTCGCCAGCACTGGTTAGCACGCTGGGCTATGGGGTGACCCATCGCTGGTTCGACTCCCGCCCCCTGCAAAATCTGCATTCTAACCAGAAAATTCTCGACCATTGGGAAAGCATGCCATCGCACCGAATACCTTGTAACACTTGGCTCCAAACTTTTTCCAACCGCCATCGCACTTGGGGGGTGGAGCGGGCTTGGTGGGCTTGACGGTTGGTGGTTTAGGCTCCTCACCACACCGGATATAAGCAATCCCTAGAAACGCCATAATCGACTAACGAGGAGACGTTTTTGAGTGTTGTCCGGAATTCGGGATGGGAGCCAGTTTACCCTGTGCAGAATTTTGCACTAATTCTGCATCTAGTTACTTTTTTGCCAAACCAAAAACCAAAACGGAAGCAAGAAAACCTATCCAAAGCTTCTCAATTCATTCCAAAACAGCTAATTTTTGCGGTTTAGGTTTAAATCGGTCTTAATTTTTTTCAGAAATGGTTGTCCCGTAACAACGGTGACAATATTCCGAATCAGGGCAAAATTCTGCACCTGATAACCGTCGTCCCAACCCGAAGTCCGGACAACACTCAAAAAAGCCTCCTTGTGGATCAGTGGTAACATCAGCGATTTATTGAATTGTGGCAACGTATAATGAAATTTTTGAAAACCACCTGCAAGCCACAATATGATCCCAAATTTGTTCATGGCGGTTTTGGAGGCGGCTCCGAACAAAGTAGAGTTTTCGGTCCCGGGTCGGCCAGTTTATACAGCAGTCCGCTGGAAAAGACGGTGACCGCCTTCATTTGTAAGGCAAGAGCAAAACAGCAAGAAACGGGTAGACCACTTCGACGCGGACTGCGACGCCCACGCGTGCGATGACCGATTGTCAAAAAATTACAAAAATCATATTTTATCAAATTTACCAATTACAAACGACAAAACGTATGTCTCCAATGAAATTCATTTAAGAGCTGTGGTTTTGAACACCGGCGGCTCAGCAAAGCCTGTTCAAATTTGCTTAGTCGATATTTTAGTGAAGTTACAGCGATTTTAAGGCGAAAATGTTGAAAATGGTAAAGCTTAGAATCCTGCAAACCCTTGAGAGAAGTCATTTCGCTAAACGTAGTTGGCGAAATTTGTGTCAACAAAGATAACCATTTCCTTTAACAAAGATGATAAATATGCTTATTTGATGTCGAAGATGCGAATTTTTGAAATTTTGCATTTTCTGCACAAAATGCGCTAATTACTTTTGATCAAACATTTTTTTTACTCTCGGATTTTTGCAGGTGTCTAGATTTTTTGTTTGTGAGCTTCTTCGCCCTAAAATGTAGCTTGTTCAAAAAGCCCCTGAGCGAATTGGGGAAACTTATTCAGAATCAGCGCAAAATCGTGCAGAAAATAGGCTTGGTCATGCTCCAAATTGAAAACTCTAGCTTCTTTCCCCTTCGAGTTGCATCTGCGGCAGGACATACACGGGTACCGTAACCAAATTTTTCTAGTTACCTCCAAATTTCACAGCTCGATCAGTACCGTCTACTTAAAGTACAGTCCCTAAACGCCACATGTTTTCATGCTGCATCATGATTCTCCTCAAGAGAATTTCAACATTCTTGTTCCGTAGCGAAAATTGCCTAAGACTGGAACGTCAAGATTTTCGGCAATGAGCGCGTAAGGCGAGCTTGCCACAGCCCGGGTGTTGCAATGCAAAAGTGTTACTGCCTTGCAGTAAATTTGCTAACGATATATTCCATTTATTCACAAACACGTTCCCTTCCTCCTAGGTCTCCTTGCTGGGCCCGATGACTGGTTGTGTCGGTACCGGCGAGCCGCCCTCCGCACCCTTCGAGGGTCCTCCGGTATACAACGTCGTCGCTCCAGATCCGCCCTGACCATCCATCGTCGGTGCCGCTGGATCTTGGGTTCCGGCGCTGCCGTCACTGCCATCCGGGGATTTCCGATGAGAATCCCGAAAATCTGTTTCCCGAAAATCTGATTCCCGAAAATCTGAATCCCGAAAAATCTGAATCTCGAAAATCTGATTCCCGAAAATCCGATTCCCGAAAAATCTGAATCCCGAAAAATCCGTTTTCCGAAAATCCGATTCCCGAAAATCTGAATCCCGAAAAATCCGAGCCCCAGAATCCAAACCTGGAAAGACCGCGCTCTGAAAAGCCAAATTGGAAGAAAACGAAGTTAAAAATTAACTATATTGAATTCACCGTCTTGGAAGTCGCCCAGGAACTTTAGAATGGGTTCTGGTACAATTCAAATAGGCGGGGGGGTGAGGATTTCGGCGGGGGGGGGGGGTGGGCCTATAGGCAGAGGGGTGCCTAGAGAGCAGGGCGGGCGCTGAGACGCAGATTGCCCCCCGCCTCGTTGAATTGTACCAGGGTTTTTTTTTTCAGTTCACAAACCGCAGATTCTTCAGATTCAGATTTTTCGGGAAACAGATTTTCGGGAAACGAATTTTTCGGGATTCAGATTTTTCGGGAACCGGATTTTCGGGATTCAGATTTTCGGGATTCAGATTTTTCGGGATTCGGATTTTTCGGGAATTCTATTTTCGGGAATCGGATTTTCGGGAAACGGATTTTCGGGAATCAGATTTTCGGAAGTATAAGCGAAGCCCCCATCCGGGAGCTTGCTGGGTCCTGGCGGGTTTCCGGTACCAGCGGTACCGTCTTGGCCATTCGGATTCCTAGTGGTAGCGCTGGGGTCTATGGTGGCTCCTGTAGTGATGCCGACGCCCCTGATTTGGCAGACGGCGGCCATGTAGGTGTGACGGCAACTGTAGTCGTTCCACTTGCCCACTCTGCAAGGAGGCATGATAAAGCCCAGCCTCCACAAAAACGTTGGTGCTCATAGGGTGAATCTTCATTTTGCCGAATTTCTATTTCGCCAATTTTTCATTTCGCGGAATTTTCATTTCGCCGAATGTTTATTTCGCGGAATTACCTATGAAATCTATGTTGCAGACCTTGGAATTTACAATATTTTGCTCGGCCGGCCACATGATTTTGTCGGAGGATCCAGGAAATAACTTTACCGTCGTTCAAAACAGCGGCACTGATGTTTGCTTCGACCTATGTCTAAAGAATAGGACAGCTGAGCTATGAAAATTCGGCGAAATAAAAACTCGGCGAAATGAATGTAAATTTGCTACTAGTAACAGGCGGGGCGGGCGAACCTAATTTCTAATTTTTGTAAATTATTGTGGGATTTCGTGAATGCCCTTGGATCAGGGGCGTAGCTGATCCCAGATTTCGGGAGGGGCAGCGGCATTTCGGAGGTGGAATCGAGAAACATTTTTGCGAAAAATAATCGTTTAAAAAAGCCCTACGTTTTTTCGGGACGGCCGAATTTCGGGAGGGGCAGCCTGCCCGCTCTGTTTTACCTCTCCTACGCACCTGCATTGAGAGAGCGTCCAAAAATATACAGGGTTTCGCAAAAAAATTTCTTTCAAGGCTGTAAAAGTAAACGCCTTCGGCAAGTTCCGCCTGACGCACAAGTCACTTACACATATGTTTCGGGAATGTACGGGCGTACCAGCATCTAAAACGATAAGTTAATTTAATTTCTTTACCGCGTTCGATACCTCAACACATCCCTCGTGTCCAGTTCGATTATTCGGCTCGCCCGTCTGCCAATTTTCGTAGCCGTCGTCCATCCAGCCGCTGTTGTCCCATAGAAACCTCTTGCGATCGATCACAGCCTGGAGTAAGATTTTCCAGTACATTTCCATGATAGGAATATCATACACGATGAGCGCCGAGAAGAACAGTAGGCGGCCCAATTACTTTCTCGGGGACCACGCGCAGAACCATTTCTAGATACTGCATCAGGGTGACCCAAAAGAAAAAAAAAATCGATTCCTCACTAGCGGTCCGGAGAAAGGTCGGACCAGGATGATCTTCACCAGGGCCTTAGCGATCCCCGATTTTTTTTGGGGGCAACTTGCCCCAGTTCTTGCCCCGCTTCGCGCCCAAGCCCCGCGAAACGGGTTTTGGGCGCTGGTTATATAATTTTGGCGCATGTGTGTGTGTGTGTGTGTGTGTGTGTGTGTGTGTGTGTGTGTGTGTGTGTGTGTGTGTGTGTGTGTGTGTGTGTGCGTGTGTGTGTGTGTGTGTGTGTGTGTGTGTGTGTGTGTGTGTGTGTGTGTGTGTGTGTGTGTGTGTGTGTGTGTGTGTGTGTGTGTGTGTGTGTGTGTGTGTGTGTGTGTGAGTGTGTGTGTGTGTGTGTGTGTGTGTGTGTGTGTGTGTGTGTGTGTGTGTGTGTGTGTGTGTGTGTGCAGGGCCGTAACAAACCCAAATTTCGGGGGGGGGGGGGAATCTCCGAAAAAGCGCGCTTACCGAGAAGCAACTTGTTCTCTTCGGCCGAATGGATTGAGGCGAGCGTGGTGCCACCAAGCTCTATGCACTTCGCCCGAGCCTCGTTGGATTTCACGTTGAGGATGACCTAAATTAGTCGCACACTACACAAGATTGCTAAATAGCGATGGAACAGCAACATAGCGGTAATATCACGCTACCTGGTTGCAAACTCCTTTGACAGTCTCGGACCACCCATCTGCGCAATTTCCCTAAAGCCCCTCAATAAATTGAATAATTGACGAGTCGTATGAGGAGTAACTTAATTTGTAAGATGAAAAATATCTCATTACGGCGGGAAAGCCTGTATCTCGTTACCTGGGGCGAGTCCAGTGCACTCAAGGGGATGGTAAAGGCTAAAAGAAGCAAAGGTGCCAAGGCTAGCATTTTCAAAATGGTTCTCTTCGAAAACCGCGAGCTTTTAAAGCCTGGGTTCTAAATAAAGATGAGTCGGTCTTTGGCTTCGTTTTCTTGACTTGCAAATATATTTATGAGTTCTTGCAAATGGTTTGCATATTTGCTTGATCGAGCTCCGACGGCGCATATTTTTCTGGGTGAAACCTGCCACCTAGAGTGCGGCTTATTCAAATCAAATCGCGACTCAAACCGGTTTGATTTGAATAAGGACGGTTTGAATAAGAATCGGCTTTTCAAATCAAACCGGTTTGGTTTGAATAAGGATTCGTTATTCAAACCAAACCGACCAGGTTTGAGTTGGTTTGAATTGTTTTGAACAACAGGCAAATCAGCATGTTAATCGATGGGATGGACGCTAATCGGCTAACAAGGAGTCGCTTTTAGGTGCTTTTGGAGTTTCGGGACGGGACCTAGCTAGTTCGATAGAGAAAAAAATTTTGAGCAACATCCCGTTTTCAAAAAGTGCTGATCGATAAAGGTGTTTTAGAAAATTTAGTTTAATTAAAAATGTTCCCGGTGTCCGGACCCTTGAGGTGATTTGAGGTGATTTGCGGAGGTCGACCGCCCCTGCCACATGGGAACTTCACGCGCCTGGATCCCGTCTTAGGCATGGCCAAGTGGCTAGTGCGTAGGCCTACGAAGTTTTTTTGGCCTTTTGCCACAAGTTCGATTCTTATTTATCGTTACCTCTCTGCTTTTTTTGCTAATTAAAATTTTATGCACCGATAACGGGTTCAACAACCAAAAAGCAAAGGGTTAGCGAGCGCGAAGATTCGAACCCGAGGCAAAAAAAATATTAAAAAGTTGGTAGGCAAGCGCGCTACCAATACGCCAATGCAACCTGTGATGGAGGCATTGGCGGAGGGTTACGAATGGCGCCCGGCCCAGCACCGAAAACGACGTGCACCGAGGAAATGGACCCGAAAACTAGAAAAAAGCGCGAACCTTAAATTAAATTTTCTAAAACACCTTTATCGATCAGCACTTTTTGAAAACGGGATGTTGCTCAGAATTTTTTTCTCTATCGAACTAGCTAAGTCCCGTCCCGAAACTCCAAAAGCACCTAAAAGCGACTCCTTGTAAGTTTTCGAGGCATCCCTTCTAAGTGATGAAATTTACGGGGTCTACGCACTTTTTCAACGATAGGCTTGGCATTCACAACCTTTCCCAAGCATACAAATGGCCGGGATAACCTTGGCAGCGCTGAAAGAAAAAGGTCTCGAAATGATCCGCTAACCCCAAAAACCTGGCAGGAATGCTGCTGAACCACCCTAAAGTGAATTCACAAAAGGATTGGTGCCAAAACGCAAAAATGGTGCCGAAAATAGACTGTTTCGGAGACTGGTTCTTATTCAAACCTTGTTCAAATTATTCAAACCGGTTTGGTTTGGTTTGAGTTGGGAATTCTTATTCAAACCGGATTTGGTTTGAATAAGGATCCCGTATTCAAATCAAACCGGTTTGATTTGAATAACGGAAATCTTATTCAAACCCGGTTTGAATAAGCCGCACTCTACTGCCACCTACCACTTCCGGAACATTTTTTTGGAGATTTTTCTGGGACATTGAAGTTAGGGTATTTTACACATCGTAAGACATCGTAAGTAAGACATATCGTAAGACAAATTTTTGCTGACAGCTGCGGAATCATCGTAAAATTCTGCACAATAAAGGCTTGGTTTCATTTCAAAGTTGCGACCTGAAAAGAGAAGCACGTAAGGTTAAAGGGGCTCCGAAATGCCAAATATAATTCCTTTCGGGAGGTATCTTAAATTTCTGGCAAATGGCCAGCGAGAGCCCGTCCGCTTTCGATTGTGGCGCGACACTGCTGTTGCTCGATTTCTCGATGAAAACACTATAATTCGCAACTTCTGAGCTCATTTCTAAAATCCTCATTCAATTTGAAATCGTTTTGGTCTTTTAATCACCAATTTGGATCAGAAACAGCCGAGAACGGGTTCTCGCGGTGACAACGGGGAATTTCAGATTCAGGCGCTTCCCGCCCTCTCTGGTGTGCAAAGGCCTTCGACGTACAGGGCTCCCCTTTTTGGGCCGTAACCCAATGTTTGGCATTTCGGTATAGGACCGGGCCTTTTTTGTACAGAATTTTTGCTGATCCCAAATCCCATTTTCTCCCGTCTCACAGCGATCACAAGATTTTTCTCCGATCGCCACTGATTTCGTAATACCCATTGTTCATTTATTAAAAACCACATGATCAAAATCATTACTTGTTGGGGTCCTTGCTGGGTGCGATGACAGGTTGTGTAGGTAAAGGCGAGTGACCGCCATCAGCACCGCCTTTTGAAGGTGCTCCGGGGTTCTGGGTCGGGCCACCATTACCATTCGGACCGTTCGGATCACCGCTTGGGGCAGCAGGGTCGCGTGTTCCGCCCGTACCACCGGTCCAGCTCGGGTCTCCACTCGGAGCAGCAGGGTCGCGAGTTCCGCCCGTACCACCGGTCCAGCTCGGGTCTCCACTCGGAGCAGCAGGGTCGCGTGTTCCGCCCGTACCACCGGTCCAGCTCGGGTCGCCACTAGGAGCAGCAGGGTCGCGAGTTCCGCCCGTACCACCTGTCCAGCTCGGGTCGCCACTAGGAGCAGCAGGGTCGCGTGTTCCGCCCGTACCACCGGTCCAGTTCGGAACTCCAGTCGGAGCGCCAGGATCACGGGTTCCGCTGCTGCCACCATTATTCGTACCCTTGGTGGGCCCGCCGGGGATGCCGTTGGGATCGACAGGTGGTACCGCAGCACCCCCAGCCCTGATCTGGCATACAGCAGCCATAAACGCGTGATTGCACGTGTAGTCGTTCCACTTGCCGACGTAGTCCGAACTGAAAAATTGTTTTCGCCTCGAAAAATGAGATTTTGCGTTCGATGATTACGAGGCTTCACTCTCTCTCCCCCTCTCTCTCTCTCTCTCTCTCTCTCTCTCTCTCTCTCTCTCTCTAACCGAGCCCTTCTAGCGGCCGCAGGTGTCCGATTTTGACAATTAAGGTATCTATCGAAAGATCTCGCAGAGGCGAGAAACCCCGCCCTTTTCATTTTTCAATTTAAACTTCGCGCGTTAGAACGCGACCTACCCATAGTCTTGAAGGGTCTTGAACGGTCGGAGGAACATCTAAAACCATACCTTGGCGCTTTTTTTGATCCCTTACCTCAAGGCATCCCTCATCTCCCTGCTGATTCGGCTCATCCGGCTGCATATTTTTGTAGTCCATCTTTGTCTTGTCGTCCCAATGGAAAGTTTTGTTGTCATTTGCGGTCTAGAGAAAATTTTCCAAGCCGTTTTTCAACTACCCGATGCCCTCCCAGAAGAGCTGTAGGGCGCCAAGTACTTTCCTGCGCGGATGGGACAGCCTTTCGGACCATGTCTGCCAAAAATTAAAAAGGTTGAAAGTAGGTGCTTACCCAAAATTAGCTGATTCTCCGAGTCCGAGTGGATGGAGGCGAGCGTGGCGCCCATTTCTGCGCACTCCGCTTTGGCATCTTCGACGCGCATGTCGAGGATGACCTCAAGAGATCAAGGTGTAGGACTATTAGATCACAGTCACGAAGGTATATTAAATCTACATTGTATCTAGAGCCCACACTAGCTAGTTCAGGTTAAATATACCAGGAAACAGCTGCCCGCCTCAATGCCACGCGTCCAATTTGCCGTGCATCCTGTCTAAATTGATTGATTGTCTATGGCTTTATTTGTTCGAATTTAATGTAAATACAGAGGACCTTGGAGTATCACAAAACTTTCCCGAACTTTTTTAAAGCCTTAATTACCTTTGGTATCAGATTAGCTTCAACCCCCAGAGGGATAAGCGCTAGGAGAATAAACCCTAACAAGGGTGGCATTTTCAAAGTGATCGTTTTCGAAAGCGAGAAAACTTTAAAACCATGGGGCTTAAATAAACATGAACTGATCTTCGGACCCGGTTTCCAGTTATGCGAATATTTATGGAGTTCTGCACTGCATTTTTGAACTGCGACCTCGCCTTCGAGAAGTTCGAGAAGTTCGAAAAAATCGATTCAAAACGATTTGGAAGGTATATAATTAATGGCTTGCTACTTACCCCAGGCGATCTCGTTCCTCTCGATGGGTGGAGAGTACTGCCCTATAGGGATTGAAAGTTATTTGTTTCTCTCGCCTACCGTACTTCCGCTAGCGGTAGTCGAACTGTTTCGCGAGCCGTTAGCTCCAGTACCACCCTAAAATTTTGATTCTTAGCTATTCTAGAAGCTGAAAGGGTCTTCAGACTTGTCAGCTATGGCTGCGGTATCGCTTCATGTCACCTAAAGCCTTACTTACCGTACCACCGGTTCCAGGTCGACTTGTATTCGATCCTGAGCCTGTCATGCCGGTGCCGCCGCTCTAAGAAAAGTGATGCGAAGCCCTTTAGCTGAACCGCTGCGTAAGGTATCCTAAGGCTTACGAAGGTACTGCCTCCTGGCCGTCCGGTTACTCCAGAAGAGTCAATCGTGAACTAAAAACTTCAAAATCTAGAATATTCTTGGACCTACCGAGCCATTGCCTCTAGGATCCGTTGAGCTGCTCGAGTTGAGCTGAAAAACTAGGTATTTGAAGACCTAATGTATCAATGGTTCGAAAGGAGGCAAAAAATATCAAGCGGATAATTAGATCTAAAAAAATACCGCAAATTTACAAAGTGCCAGCGAGAAGTAGCGATTCCCGCAGCCGATGTCGTTCCATTTCCCCACTGACCTAAAATAAAATGTCATCGATCGAAGAAACAAAAAAAATACTCCTTGCCAAAACCCTTTGGGCCATCGAGCGGCTGCAGGTACATCTGAAAAACAGTGCGCAAATTTGACGCGAAAATGGGAATTGCCTCGATGCAGTTCTGCTCGCCGTGTTTATGGATGTTGTCGTCTTCGGCGTTATCCGGTTGCGCCGCATCCCAGTTTGTATAGTCCATCGGGCTGCGGTCGATCCATTGGAAAAGTCTGCCCAAATCTTTGATCTAAACAAAAAGCTGAAAATTACAAAGCGTCCCAATGAAAAAAACACCACTTATAACTCGACGGAGAAGTATCGGATTGAAATCATAGTAACACCTTTCGAACGCCTTTGAAACGGCCAGTTTGCAACAGTTTTCAAAACGATGTTTTTATTCAAACATCATTTCGGGTTTTTCCGGGTTGCATACAAGTCATTTTAAGGTTTTTAAAGGCGTTGTACAATCGCGGGTTTCGGTAAACACATGGTTTTGAAGTTTGCGGCAAAATCGTTGTTTCACGGGCTTTCGAATGGTGTAGCTACCATTCGGATCCGATACTTCTTCGTCGAGTTGGAGGGGGTTTTTCTTGTAGTCGTACTAGGCAGGTTTTTATACAAAACACGCCATTAATAATAAGAAACCACCGCAAAAAAGCAAGTTAAAATATAAGAAGCAAATATCCAGCTGGTCTGTAAGTCTATTTTTGCTTTTTTTAACGCACACCCTCTGAGGTCACAGAGGTCCTAAAATTACGGAATCAAACCTTGTAAGCGCCGAGGAGTATCGAATATTTCTGGCTGTGATTCGCCATTTTTTCGACCATTGCCTGGATGCTCCACGCTAAAATTTCACTAATTGTAAGATTGAAGATCCAGGCAAAATTACAAAGAATTCTGGTATTCTCGGCCTCGGAATGGATTGAGGCCAGGTGGCCGCCCATCGTTTTGCACGTGTTGATCGCGTTCTCCTGGGTGGTGTTACGGATGAACTGAAAATTAATGATAGATGGTACCAAACACTAAAGCCGAACTATCTTCAAGAAATATAAAAGCAAAAACGCCGGTTCTTTCGCATTATCTGGGGAATTGTTTTTTCCTAGGAACCGATTTTTAAATTATAAATAGCGGAAGTATTTCTAAGCTGTTTTTACTACTCCAAGCGTAAAAACTTTACAAAACTTTAATCAAAAATAAAATACCAATTTTAATGGCCGTTTCACCAAAATTCGAATTTTGCAAAAAAAATCCGAAGTTTTTAGATAGTTTTTCTAGTTAAAATCTAGTTTTATTTTGCTTAAGACATTATTGAACATTACCTATTAAGGTTATTTGGCTTTTCAAGATAAATACATAAAATGTGTGCCCCCGATAATGCGAAAGAACCAAAAATCTTGGCCAACCGTATAGCAATCCTTGCCGTCCCTCGTCAGCTTGTAACCATCAAACGGACAATCTTGCTAAAAACTAGTTTCCCTACTAAATTCAACCTTAATGACAAGACTCTCAGTAATCTGAGAAACCTACAGCATCAATAAAACCGATCACAAATTGTAGGAATAGTAGGAAAAAGATGGAATGGACCGTCATAGCTCAGCCGGAGTACGGTAGCTTTCGTGCCGGGTCCGTTGTATAAATACTTGGGGCGCTGGCTATTTGTGATTCAGAAGGGACCGGTAATAAACGAATTGGTATACGAGAGAGACTGGAGTCCAAAAAGGAAATTGAGTAAGACTTTATTTTACCCCCAAAATTTTTTAGGTCCTTTTCTTTGACGGGCTATCTGGTTTTTGCTATAACAATTAGCTTTACTTTATTTTTGGCTGTAGTTAAAACAATTTTATATCGTTTAGCCGCTCTATCAAATTCCTTTTAATAAATTTTGTCAAAGCATTGTAAATGCCTAAAATTAGAGAGAAAAATCAACCCTTTGAGTTTTGCCTGAAAAGCCATAGGAGCATAGCGAAAGCGTTCTACCATTAAAGGTACAATCTGGTCCCACTGGGTCGGTTGCAGGCCTGAAACTAGACACGGGATAGCAAGCAGGGTTACGGTAGGCGCTCGCCGCGGAGCAAAGCCGAACCCTGACCCCTCGACTGGGGCAGCGCCTTAGACCACTAGGCCGAGGGAGAGGCTGGCGAGGGGATGGGGAAGGGGGTTAGGAAGGGTCGGAGGGACCCCGTCCGGACAGCCGGCAGGAACCAGGGGTCGCCTGGAATTTTCAACGGGACTATAGTCTACCTTTAAAGACGGCAATTCTGCGAACCATCTTCATTGATGAAAACCCGAGTTGTCCAGATAGCATTGTGCTCTTTTTTCCGTGTTGAATCGAATGTCCAAGACCCCCAAACAATATAAATTTATTCGGAGCTGTCTGAGCGCGCTTATTTGCTGGGATCTTTCGAAGGTGCAGCCGGTGGAGGAGTGGTCCCAACGCTACCGCCGCCACCACCCCCTTTCGACGGGGCATTCACAGGAGTGGTACCGCCGTTCTAAACCGCCCTGGTAACTTCTTCCTCCGTGCGATGCCATTTGGGCCCTTATTAAATTACATACCGGTCCTTGATTCGGGTCTTTTGATGGCGCATTCGGGTCCGCAGTACCACCGTCGTTCTGGAAATGGTGTAAGCCATCTACCAACAATTTCGGCACGGGACCTGGCCCGCCTTGTGCAGAATTTTGCGCTGAATCCGGGACTGGCTTGAAAATCTGCAAAACGATCGGATCGAAAAAGTTATGAAGCACTTTAGAGCGGCCAAGCCAAAAATTTGCCGATTTCGGGACTGTTTTGCACTTCAAAGTTTGATAACTTTTTCAATCCCTTTGTTTTGCAGATTTTGGAACGAGGGTCGAAATCCGCGAAAAATGATGTACAAGATAGCTAGGTCAGGTACCGAAACTTGAGTGTCCCTAAGACTTGCATGCACCAGGTCGTAAAAATTTTTCCAATGTTTGCCGTCAAAACACAATTGTAATAGCACATCTTGATCGGAATTTTTCGCTGATTACGAATCCATTTCCCAAAGTTATGGAACCCCTCTGGTTAAAAACTCACAATGTTTTTAGTACCAAAAATTATTCTGCACAAGATGTGCTATGTCACTGACCAAAATTCTATGTCAACCTTGACAGGCTGATCGTTACTCTAACACCCACGCTTGCAGGTTTCTGGCAAACCACTATTTCCGGAACGGTGCACTCGTTGTCGTTCCAACGGTCCTCAGGCCACATCTAGAAACGTTTTGAATGTTTCGATAGCCTTAGAATTTTTGAACTGTTCATTAGTCCTTAGAAAAAAGACACTCTTACGTCAAAACAATTCTCCAGATTCAATGTGTTGTCCATGTACTCATCGTTGAAACGTTTGTAATCCATCTCGGACCCATCGATCCATTTGAAGTCATATTTCCCGCTGCCGAACTGTGATAAGAAGCGAATCGTTTTAAAATAGCCAAGAAATCAAAATGAGCATATCAGCCCGAACAAATGAAAAGAGCATTTTTTGATTGAATAAAGAAGGACGGATCAAAATCCATGGCAGCACATAGGATAGCGGGGGAAGCCAAATGTTTGTGATTTTCTGTATTTCCAAAACGCCAATCGAGAGAACGTCAAAAAATATACTACGATGATCATTTTCAGCACGAAAAATGTAATATAAAGCGTTATAGCATAAAAACTATAGTAGAAAGCTGTGGGCAGCACCGGGGGAAACTTATTTTTCGATATTTTCGAAATCCCATTCGTTAGAGGGCTGAAAAGTATATGAAGAGCTTTTTGTATTCCGAAAAACCATATTTGAACTATTTTTGTTATAAAAAAAATTGAGTGCTCCCCCACCGTTTATCCTAGGTTTACCGAGCAGTCTTCTTGCGCTTTCCGTCCTTTTAACGCGAGGAATGCTCTTTTTCACTCACCCGTGTCGCCCCGAGTCGCACATGTTCGCCGTCACGGGTAAATGCTATAATGTTCATTGGAATTTTCACCGATTTAGCTAGCGCTACTCGTGCAACGCACGGACGGCACACGAATGTGCAAGGGCCCACCGTAAACAGCCGCATTTTCCGCTTCCGAATGAATGACGGGTAATCCGGCCCCAAGTGCATCGCACGCAGCCTTCGATGCATCGTATTTCATTAGGTCCGGAAGGCTCTATAAAAATTGTCGTTGTTGTCGTGTGGCAGCTCCGCGTCTTCCGTTTGCCAAATAAACTTTTATCGTGTCTTTGATACGTTGCACTTCCAGCTCAAGCCCTACAGGATGTCCCAACTCCCCCCCCCCCTGGCGGTCAGCACTGATGTCCGAATTTTACGATCTAGGTAGCTATCGAAACCTCTCTCGACAAGCTGAGGAGCTATGTTTATCGGATTTTGAAATCCCAGGAATTTTTCGCTCGATTTTCGGCAATTTTATGCCAAAGTTTCACATTTTTTTACAAAATAGCTCATATTAATTGGGTCAACGCCATCCTAACTGTGTTTTCTCAAATGGTCATCAAAATACTGTCGTTGGGCAGTCGCAAAGGTTTGAAAATTGATAAATTGTGATTTTGTAAATAAACCCTTCCTCCGGGGAGGCGTCCGAAATTTGGTAGTTTTTACAAAAAGGTTAGTAATTCTAACAAAAATTTGAGGAATTTCGAAATTCGGAAAGAAACATATCTCCTCAGTTCGTCGCGAGAGCTTTCGATAGGTGCCTAAATCGTAAAAATCGGCTAACACTGCGGACCGCTTGCACCGCAGTCGGGCCAGTCGGGCCAAAAAGCACGGGTCGGACCGCACAAGACCGACTTTTTCGGTGAAACCCTACAACAAAAAAAAAACACTTCACGGTGTAGGACCATAAAAAAGGACCATCTATAAAAATATCTACAAACCTTGTAGCATTTCTCCGTGCCCTGGCCCAACGTCCACCCATCTTCGCAACTCAGCTAAGAGCTCAAGGCCGTTTGCAAATTTTGAAAGCCATTCCAAACCTCGGCAGATACGGTAAACCCGACGGCAAAGAGCAAGAGAATGTTTTTGACCATGTTTGGATCAAGTACGGGCACCTGGCCCTATATCTCGGCGTTTGCCTTCTTTGACTTTCATGGGTTTGTCTTGTTCAAATTTATGCGGTGCGGTGCGACCGAAGTTCGCTAGAACGCCCACTTCTTTCAGGCTTTGACGCCTTTAAAGGGATACCTAATGTTTTGCCGGTATTCCGGGCAGTACAAATGACGCGCGAATTTTGTGCGCCAAGGGGCCCATTGCCGCACAGAAATTTGACACCTTTCCCTCTTGTGGAGTGCCCCATCCCACTCCATGGCTTGCCACTATGGCCTAAGAATAGTATCCATGCCTACAAAGCCGGGGACCCGGGTTCGACCCCCACACGCGAAATGTTTTTCGAAAAGTTTCGAGCTTTGAAAAGGTTGGGCGTCCCTTTAAACGCAGCCATTACAACTACTGTGGTTTGAAGCACAGTGATTTTTTGCGACTTGGGTGAATCCGAGCGAGCTAAACGGCACTGTTTGCTTCCGTAAAAATTCTATTTTAGGCCGATCGGGTAGGCGTACCTTTCTTACTACAGTTGTGTAGTTACTTGTGTTCAAGGTGACGTCAAAATTGGTTTAGTGAAGTTTTATAAACGCTCTTATTTGCTGGGATCCTTCGAGGGCGGAACCGGCACAGGAGTGGTTCCAGCACCACCGCCACCACCACCCCCTTTCGACGGGCCATTCACAGGAGTGGTACCACCGTTCTAAACATTTACCATCAGTACAATTCGATGGCATGCTATTTCGCTATGAATCCGATAACATATGTGACGTTCTCTCTTTAAAGGGATAGCGCAAGCGGCAGTCCACGTGTTACGTGGATGCCTGGAACTTTGCCAGATTTGGCTGGATTTCCGCTTATCAGCATCCCAATCTGCGCTTATCAGCAAATCAGCGCACTAATGAGGAGATTCGGGGCGCGCAGATGTGATAACTTTTTATGTTTAGGGCCGGAAAGGGGGCCTTTTTTGGAGCACAGCTGCGCAACATCTGTGGAATTCCCGGAGCCTAAGTAACACTTAGGTTTCTGCTTGCGCTATCCCTTTAACAGATTCCGTACCGGCCCAGCATTTGGATCTTTCGATGGCGCATTCGGGTCGGGAGTGCCGCCGCTCTAGAAATCTGGCCGTATTTTGGACTCAAGGTCGTAGGATCCTCCGCGTTTGACTTTTTTTTACAGTTCTTCGAATAGCTCTAGTTCAGGTTTTTACCGCGAGCCCTTACCGCCTGTCCTGAATTAGGATCTTGTGATGGCGCAAGCGGGTCCAAAGTCGCGCCGGTCTAAAAATCAATGGATATTTCGGTCTAATGTTTTGCGAATTTGACATTAAGCATTTTTTTAATTGTTTGGGTAAGGCATTGATTAACACCGAGCCCTTACCACCTGTCCGGGATTCGTGCCTTTCGATGGTCCAACCGGGCCCGAAGTAGCACCAGTCTGAAATGTGGCTTGATTTTGCAAAACTGCCTTTACAATTATTGGTTTCATCGATCCAAATAGCTAAAAGAACGATGGCTAGAATCTAAGTAAACAAGGACGAAAACTGACCACTCCGTTATTCGGTCCCTGCTTCGGCGGCGAGATCTGAAATGATGGTTCTGGATCGACCGCGACAAAGAAATTGTCATCAACGTCCGAAGAGATAGATTTACCGTCCACTTGCATAGCGCTAATGCATAGCGGTCGGGCTGACAAACATGCTGTTCCCATTGCCCGACTAGCGGCCTTGAAGTTCGAGATTGAATGCTGCCACTAGTTTGCCAAATCTTACTTTGCCTCCGTGTCATCTTGTCTTGACAGGCGCAACTAAAAGAAGTGTTTGTATGATATTCGAGAATGATCTTACATGTATGCAATTCTCCTGTCCGGGCACCGGGTCGTGGTTTACATTTTGAGCATCCTTGTCGTAGTTGTTGGGCTCAAGGTCCATCCAATTCGTGTAGTCAACTGGCGTGCCATCATCCCAGGTGAACTCCTCTTCCATGCCTTTGGTCTGAAAAGGGTGATAAACTGCCAAAAAATCCGACCTAACTATTTTTTTCGGAATTGTTTGCATACTTTTCCGCGCTCTATCGCATCGAACTCAAGACATTTTGAACAAAATAGCTAAAATGGCGAAACCTGCTTTATGTTATGCCCTCTGAGGAAAACACCTTTAATAATTGTTTTTGTCATGCCTATTTAATGTTTCATTGTTTTGAACTAAAATTAAAACTCTTAGTATATTTTTGAATGCTCTATCGAAAAATGTGAATTAAAATGCCCAAAAAGGAGAACGAGAATGCCGAAAATTAGCCGCTCAACCCTATTTAAAAAGTTTCTTTTTGTCTTTCCATAAATTTTTTATGTTACAATACCAGAGCTGAAACAAGGACGCTTGGTCTATTGCTCGATGTTCTAACGAACCTTTTCGCAAACCGCATGTGTTTCCCACTTGCAGCTCAAGTCCTGCCATTTGCCAGTCCAGTTACCATCCATATGGCCCTTTGTATATACCTAAAAGATGCTTTGGTTTGTGTGGGCTTGGACCAGAAAATCGGTAACACGACATTTGCGGCCGACACTCGCCGCCCGACACTCGCCGCCCGACGCTCGCCGCCCGACAGATGCCCGACATGGTGGCCGCACCTTTGTGGCCCGAAATTTAACAAAGCGGCCCTGGGGATACGTTTCCGAGCCCAGAAATCACTGCTTTTGCACGGGTTTGAGTTACACATAGAGATCTTTGCCTAAAATGAGGTTTCGTGCCACCAGCGGGGGCTAGTCGCTTCGGATGGGTGCGAGCTGCGGATAGATTGCAAAATCGGTGCTCGTTGCAAATGCTCTAGACCGGGCCAAATATTTGAATCACCTCATTTCAATAAAAAAATAGATTGGGCCGCTGCCGCGGCCGCCTAGGCTTGTTTTTTTTTACTGGAACAGCGTCTACTGTCCAACGGCTTTGATGGACCGACACAGAAGCGCACCTGAAGGCAGAACCCGTTTCGGTCCTGGTTATCCATTAATTCGTGTGCCCAATTAGTATAGTTCATCGTCGATCCATCCGTCCAGGCGTAATTGTAAGTGGCCGTTTGTATCTGAAAATCGAACACTGGACCAGCAGCCCGTAGAAAAACGCACGCTGGAGGCTCCGAGCAGCGTCGTATACCTTTGGGTCAGATCCAAACCTTTCCAGGCCTTCAACTCCTCGACACTCCAATCTTTGAGTGCCTTTGAATTTTGATCTCTAAACGGAGCCACCTAGTATCTTTTTGTTCATGTCAGCCGAATGAACGGATCCGAGGAGTCCGCCAAGTTTTGAGCATTGCGCCTTGGCATCGGCGTGTGTCACGTTCCAGAGCAGCTGAAAATGGGCTATGGCACTATAGAACAAAACTATAGGACTACAGGGACATCCGATAAGAGCACCCCCTCCAAACTCAACGCAGAAGTATCGGATTTGAACAAAAGTTACACCATTCGAAAACTCTTGTGAGGCCGATCCGATATGCGTCAAATTCGAGGGGGTGTTTTTCATTGAGACACCCTTTAGTACGGGTAGAAGCTGTGCCTCTAACGCTATTCTACCTCACCCGAGATTACATCTTACCGTATAACAATCTCCACCATCATCCAATGCACGTCCCGTCTTGCAGGTACCCTAATATTCTTTATTGTACATTGGCATCTGTCTGAAACTAATGACTAAGTATACCTACCGCCACTAGTGAGCCGCCTATAGCAAGTATGGAAAGAAGAAGCCGGGCTGGAACGGCCATCTTTTGAATTCCAGGGAAAAACCCCCGCGGTCGTGTTTTATACGAGAACCAGGGCTGGGCATAATTTTTAATTTCAAAACGCTTACCGGGCATCTGAGAATGCGCAGAAGGCAGTTTGACGCAGGTTTTCGATGCCAGATCAACGATCCTTTTCGAATGTTCGATCATGTTCGATCTTTGATTATGTTTGTTCATGACTTTTTTCAGGAAGTGTTAGCGTACCGTTACGATGTATTCCGGATGCTAGTAATTCTGGCAGTGAGATATTGACACTTTAATCCCCTAATCGGGCACTAATCAACTTTTAAAACGATTGTTGTTTGTAGGCAGGCTCCACAAGCAACCGGGTTTCTGATTGATTGATTGATTGGTTTGATTATTCCACAGAAAAAAATCGATTCAGGGCTGTAGGGTCACTATGCAAAGTCCTAAACACTGAGTGTTTTCTCAACGAGACGTTTTTGAGTGTCGAGATGGACCAGGCCTATCTGCGAGACGAGATGTGCTGGCGACGATTTCAGCCAGAAAAACGAATTTATTCATTGGTTATTGTTGTGGTTGGCAGCATTTCTGTTACTTGCTGGGATCCTTCGAGGGTGCAACCGGCACAGGAGTCGTTCCAGCACTACCGCCACCACCGCCCCCCCTTCGACGGGGCATTCACAGGAGTGGTACCGCCGTTCTAAACATTTACAATCGGTAACTTCAGTTCGATGGAATTCTATTGAACTATGAATCCGATAACAGTAACATTGTTTCTCAAACAGATTCCGTACCGGCCCAGCATTCGGGTCTTTCGATGGCGCATTCGGGTCGGGAGTGCCGCCGCTCTAGAAATCACGCTATATTTTGACTACGATCTTTTGACTTTGGCTTTTCAACTGTCTTCGAATAATTTAATTCTGTTGTTCTAACCGGATGCCCTTACCGCCTGTCCTGAATTTGGATCTTTCGATGGCGCATTCGGGTCGGCAGTGCCGCCGCTCTAGAAGTCAGGCTGTATTTTGGACTCAAGGTCGTAAGATCTTCCGCGTTTGCTTTTTACAGTTACTCCAATAGCTTTAATTCAGGTTTTTGGCCGCGAGCGCTTACCACCTGTCCTGAATTTGGATCTTGCGACGGCGCAAGCGGATCCACGGTGGCGCCGGTCTAAAAATCGATGGGTATTTCGGTCTAATGTTTTGCGAATTTGACATTAGGCAAATTTTCTAATTGTTTGGGCAAGGCATATAACACTGAGCCCTTACCACCTGGCCGGGATTCGTGCCCTTCGATGGACCAACCGGGCCGGAGGTGGCGCCAGTCTGCAACGAGGCTAGCTTTTTGCAGGATCTTTTGTTTAGATGTTTCATTTCATAGAGAAACGCTAACAATAGTCGTATATCGACCATGGGAAGGCGAAGTGGCTCAAATTTTTGCGTGACGTTAGCAATTTTGTTTTTACGGTTGGTTCGAATGCTGTCGTGACTCCTCCGATTTAAGAGCGAAACTTACCTGCCGTCCGCTCGGGTCGCTTGAGGGACCGCTTGGATTGGAAGTGGGGCCAGTCTAGAACGTTGGCATAAAACTTTTCCCAAATTTTTCAGAATGTTAATCCAAATACTACAGGTAGAATGTTATATGAAACCGAAAACCCACAACTCCGTCATTCGGTCCCTTCGACGGGCCCGTCACCTGAAAAATGACATTGGACTGACTACTGCAAAACATCGACATCAACGTCCGAGCAAAAAAGAAGCAAAACTGACCGGAAACTTGCATAGCGCCAAATCAAAGGCGGGGTAGATATTGCAACCCCACTGTTCCCACTTCCCTGCGCGAGGACTTAAAAGACCAATGATTAAATTTTGTCATTTCTATCATGCCGAGAAATCAACAATTTCCAAAATCATTACTCGCTGGTGTTTTCAATCGGCGTTGGCAGGTACAGCTAAAGATATGTAACATCCTTGCCAGTGTTGCTACCTCGATGCAGTTTTCTTGGCCGGGCTTTGGATCATTGTCCCAATCATAGTTGTTTGGCTCGAGGTTCAACCAATTCGTATAGTCAACCGGTGTACCATCATCCCACGTAAACTCAGTTTCCATGCCTTTGTCCTTAAATCAAAAACTAACTTATCCCTGACGAGTGGAAATCGCCGCTTCGCGGCCCTTTTCCGCGGGACCTCGTCTAGGAAACATAATTTTAAAGACCACCGGAACGCTGTAATTCCGTTGAGGGCAGCCGCCCTTGAAATGCGCAAATGTCATATCAGACTCGATTACATAACAAAATTATAAACCGTAAGTCAATCGGGGCCTCGAGTTATTGTAGCCCGCTTTGCTAAGAATTTTCTCACTATTCTGCTTGTAAAATCGTTAACTGAAGGACTTTCGCAAAACCAAAAAAATATATTTTTGGCCAATGCGTTTTTCCACGTCCATATGCCAAAAAACAGCTCCTTCGGGTTGACGATCGAGAAAAGGGGCCGTACGGAAAAATCCCTTCCGCGCCTATAGGGTCGGATAAGCGCCAAATTGCAAGGGAGACAAGAACACAAAGTCACTCCTACCCTCGTTGCGGCGAGCCATATTTCTTCCACGCGCTTATTCACCGAGGCTAAAAAAAGAGCATTCCAGTGCAAACGATATGCAAACCAAGCACGGCGTTCGTCTCAGCCTCGGAATGAATGGTTGCCACGAGCCCGTTTGCGTCCTTACAATATTCATCAGCTTCCGCATAGGTCAGATCCGTTTGGTACTGCGTTTCCGCCTCAGCGGGCCATTTGGCCTCAAGTGACACGCTCTGTATGTAAGAAACCGCGCATACCAAGTAGCATTTTTCCGTACCGGCGCCCGCTCTCCAGGATCGCCCGGGCTCCTCGCTGCAAGGCTGAAAACGACCCTCATTGAATGAGAACGCTCTTAAACGGGGAAAAATTTTAAAAATTTAGATCGAAAAATTGAGTTCCGTTGCGGGAGGGCGCGCGTCAACTTGAATTCTACTTTGTCAAAATCCAGCCTATAACATTGCGTTATAGGCTGTTACTTGGCCAAATTAGATTTCTAAAAGGCCATAAATGTTTAAAGGAGCACCGAACTGCCAAATCAAAGTCCTGTGGGTTGATTTCTAGTTATTAACTACCAGGGGGCGCTGCGCGACGAGAGCCCTCCCATCGGCTTTTGTTGTAAAAACATTATAATTTGCGGATTATAAGCTGATTTCTGAGATCCTTACCAATTTTAAATCGTTTAGGTCTTTTAAAGCGCACGTTCAGGGAGGGGCCGTATACTCTGTCCAACGTATACACCCTATGGACGTAGGGACGGCGCGCACTGTCTGCCCGTGCTGTGACAGGCCATTCCCCTCCTTTGCGGGGTGGGGCGCCCCTCGCCCCCTCGCCAGGTTGTAGCTGTGGCTGACTGGTATACATCCGCGCCTCCCGAGCGGGGGGCCCGGGTTCGACCCCCGGCCGCGGCAAAAATCTTTGCTTTTTTCCCAAAAAACGTCTCTGAACGTGCCCTTTAATCACGAAATTTTGCCCAGAAACAGCCGAGAACGTGGTTTGGAGGTGGCAACAAGGAATTTCAAATTGGCGAGCTTCCCGCGCCCCTGGGCGTACAAAGGCCTTCTACCTACAGGGCTCCGGTTTTCGCGCCGTAACTCAATTTGTGGCATTGCGTTTAAGATTGTATGAGGATTTTTTTTAAATTAGCGCAGTGGCTGAGAACTATAGCGTTTTAACAAAGCGATCGGGGCAAAAATTGTTTCGTGGAGAAGCGACCCGTTTTCGTCCCACAGCAAAATTTTGCCAGAAATCAAAGAACCCGCAAGGCCTACCTTGGGTTTTTCGCAAACCACATGGGCATACTCCTTACACTTTAGATCCTGCCATTTTCCGGCCCAGTGGCTGCCGTTGTGGGTCGCTGTATACATCTAAAAGATTGTTGTAGTGCGAAAGAATTGATTCGACGAAAGGTCCCGTAAGCTCTATGTAAATCTATCTTTGTATCGTAGCGTCACGTTTTTTAACGTGGCGCATGACGCTCTTTACCTGTGGTAATTATTCCAGATTGGACCCCTTTCTCGTGATACCTTGTGATGATTACAAACCTCAAGGCAGAACTCGGTGCGGTTCATATTATCCAAATACTCATGTAGCCAATTCGTATAGTCCATTGGCGACCCATCAATCCAGCGGAAATTGTAGGTGGTCGTTTGTATCTATTTAACAAAGGTAGGCAGTGATACTCAATAAACGTACGCTGGAGGCGCCGAGCAGCGTCGTATATCTTTCACTTGCGTTCCTGTCTTTCCAGGTGCTGACCACCTCGACGCCCCAGTCTGCAATGGGCCGTGAACGGATTATTATTTTTTTAGGTTTATTCGGTTCACACAGACTGCGTATTCGATTCGGTACCTAGCCGATCTTGTCGAGAATTTTTCGATGATTCCGATACTGGTTTTCAAATTTGCGCACGTGATCGACGTCAAAAGGTACAGCGATTTTTGTCGCAAGCAGGCCCGAAATGATGGACTTAAATCCCTTCAAAAATGGTCTAGAATACTTTCCGGAAAAAATAAAGCAGATTGGGCGTAAAAAACGCGCTCTTTCGAATGGAATCCAGGGCAAAAGCGGCTGGAATCGCAAAGTCGAAAACATGAGTTGAATGACGAACATTTTGAGCTACAGGTCCGTGAGGTAGCTAATTTGAAAAAGCCTATTTTTCTACCACGTGTCTGCTTCATTCTCATCCCGAAAGTACTCTACAAAATTTTAAGAGGAATTGGAAGCCGACCATTTCAGACCAGTTTGTGTCGAAAAGCGCTGTAACTTTCGAAATCGGCCTCTTGCGCATATTTGGAAAACAGATTCGGAATTAGCAAAAATTCTCGACAAAACATTCTATGTTCACAATCGAATTCCCAGTCTATGTAACATTTACGGTCGGTCACCTTGTATCTTTTTGTTCATGGCTTCCGAATGAACGGACGCGAGGTGTCCACCGAGCTTTGCGCATTGCGCTTTGGCATCATCGTGCGTAATTTTAGTAAACATCTGAAAAATGAATTCGATAAGAAATGTCCCCTCAAAACTGCTTTACTGCTATTAAACCTTGGCTACCTAACCCAAACAACCCCTTACGGTATATCAGATTGGAAGATAGCTCTATTCTGGACATGTGATATGTCATTTTGTCGGTCTCGGTCTCAATGGTTCCGGGAGGAGGGTACTGGGCCCTCAAAATCAAGAACGGCCGAGATACAGGCACATAAAGTTTTTTCAAAAATTTCGCAAAAGTCTTTGTGCGGGTTATCTCTGCATAGAGCATTTTACATACGATTAACGCCGATCGATAGCTTTGGAGGAGTAGATACGGATACGATATTTTGATGATAGAGATCATCAAAATTTTGCATGGATTTATGCTTTATGGGACAATGGATGGCCGAGCTATGGCCCCTTGAAATTTGGTCCATTTCTCAGAACTGTTCCCGATTTCCCATAAATTTCCAAACATTTGACGGACAGGCGACAGACAAGGTGAAATGAAAAATGATATTTTTGGACTAGCCCGCGGATTTTGAAAAAATGTATGGGAAATCGGGAAAAGTTCTAAGAAATGGGCCAAATTTCAAAGGGGCCACTTCTCGACCATCCATTGTCCAATTTTGATGATCTCTCAAGATCATCTCAACATCTATCCGTATCTACTCCTCGAGAGCTATCGATCGGCGTTAATGGTATCGTATGCAAATTGCTCTATGCAGAGATACCTTGCAAAAACACATTTTTGAAAAGAACTTTATGGGCCTGTATCCCGGCCGTTCTTGATTTTGAAGGCCCAGGAACCTCCTCCCGGAACCGTTCAAGCCGAGAGCTACAAAATGACATATCGCATGTCCAGAATGGAGCTATCTACGAATTCAGCCAGCCTACAAAAATCTCGGCGACAGAACTTTCGTTCCAACCTGATAACAATCGACTCCGCCATCATCTAGTGGGCGTCCCGTCGGGCAAGCACCCTAACGAGTATTTCAATATAATTTAATTTTTGGCTATATCTACCGCCACGAGAGAGACGCCTATAGCAAGAATGGAAAGAAAAAGCCGGGTGGGATCGGTCATCTCTTGAATCAAATGCAAAAGCTTTGGCTTTATACCGGACCAAAGTCTCAGCACAACATTGACTTCCAAAGTGGGTTCGGCAGTTGCTGAAGTCGAGGATATACATAAAATATTGCTCCTTTTTTATGCAATATTAATGATCGGACCAAGGACCAAAGCGATAAGCGAATACACTTGTGTATCTTATATAAACCTGTGTAGGTTGTATGACTTTCATGGTTGTAGTAAATTTGGAACTTCATTAAGCTAGAACCATGAGTCTCTCTTTCGCTGTTTTTTTTGCGCAAGGGGTATGGTAAGGTTGTTTTTCTTTAAAAAGGGAAATTGTTCGAATTCACTGAACCCCGATGTTCACGCAGATGTACCCAGCGAAAGAGATACCAGGAATCCGACAGACGCAGGGGTGAAAAATACGGGAAATCGCTAAATCAACGCGCGCTGCGTGTCGCGACCGGCAACATCCGTCAACATCAACATATGCCCATCCCTTTAAAGGTGCTTTACGTGCAGTAATGTCGGCGCGGTTGCCAGTAAGACATGACTTTATTCGTCGGAGTTGACGGCCTTCCCTATTTTCTGGGATCTTTCGATGGTCCACCAGGCGTTGTGGTAGTCCCACTGACAGGACCGCCTTTTGACGGACCGACCGGGGTCGCGGTAGCGCCGTTCTAAAAATTTATTTTTAACGAGCTTCCTCGGAATGGTTTTTGGCTACTTACGATAAACGTCAATATAGGGTGTGCAACCGCTGAAACATACCGGAACCTTGCACAGCGCCAAATCAAACGTTCGCCCCGCGCATCCAAGCTGATTCCATTGGCCGACGTAACCTCTAGAAACATGCAAATTTTCAGCGCTTTGATCATTGAAAGGCCAGGCTTGACATACGACCCATCGATCCTAGTTCTAAATACCTACTTTCCTTCCTTCTCCTTGAATTCTTGTAGGTACATCTAAACCACACTTGGGCCTTTTGGGATTTTGCTACCTCGATGCAATTCTCCTGCTTAGGTTTCGGGCTAGCTCCTTCGTAATCGTTCGGCTCGAGGTCAACCCAGTTGGTATAATCCACCGGGGTTCGGTCATCCCAGCTGAACTCTTTCTCCATGCCCTTCTCCTGTAACGGTAGGTTCGAAATTGTATTCACGCTTTATGTTTTTGTACCTATTCCTGCCAGCTAGGTAACCGGAAACAACTAACGAACTCTAAGTACCAAACACTGACCCTTTTCGCATTCAGCCAAATGGACTCCTCCGTACCGTTCCACACCGCTGAACATTTTTGGGGGATAAAAATACAATTTCTTTCTGACCTATGACGTCCTTGTTTTGATCCTTGTTACGGACTATGGGTAGGGTGGCAGATTTTGCCTTGCAGTACTTATCGGCCTCCGCGAAGGGCACGTCCTTATTTACTGCCTAAATTTGAATTCTGGGTCGTGAAGTTGTCAGACCAGATAGCAGAGATTTTTTGTAGATCCGGCTTTCCAACCGGTAGCACATGGCTGAAAAAATCATGTGAAAACGTCTTGTGAAAACGTTCTGACTTGATTAAGGGAGAGATTGGGAAACTAAGCAAGGTGTAACCAAGTTAAAGCGCGCGATCTTGATGCTTTTCAAAGAATTTAGGCAAACTCACCCCAGATTTCTCACAGACAATCCGAGCGTTTTCCCCGCAAGCAAGGTCATTCCATGTGCCCGACGCCGTTAGCTAAACGCAAAAGGGATCAGAGAAGAAATGAAACATCCGGAATCTCAATCTATACATGGTGTATAATAAAAATAGTAATAAATCAATAAAAACCCTTCTGACGACGGAGAATTATCCGATCGGAACGGTAGTGACACCATTTGAAAGCCCTTAAAACGGAGGGTTTGCAACCATCTTCAAAACCAGGTGTTTTTCACTGCCATCTCACAAGCCAATTTTAAGATTTTCCGGTTTTTCCGCGTGGCATACGAGCTGAATTGGCCGAAGCTTCACAAGTAAAATGATCGGAAGTTGCCGTTATTAAATGCAGAGGATGTTCCTTAATGTTTTTAAATGTGAAATGTGTCATAAAATGGCTCGTTTCAATAAAAATATCATTTTCAAGATTGTTGCCGACTCGCCGTTTCAAGGGTTTTCGAATGGCGTAGCTAGCAGCCCGATCCCACCCCTTCCCCGTCAAGTGAGAGGGGTGTTTTTTTATTGAGACATTCTGTAACCGTACTCCTAAAATTTTAAATGAATGTACCTCCAGGCAAAGCTCGCTTCGTTCGAGGTTGTCCAACAACTCGTACTCCCAATTTGTATAATTCAGTGCCGTACCATCTAGCCAGCGGTAATTGTAGTCTACGGATTGGATCTGAATAAGGATGCAGTTCAAAATATGTTTTTGAGCGTACGCTGGATGCTCCAAGCAGGGTCGAGTACTTTTTGTCTTTTGCCATGCTGCCCTTCAGCTCCTCCACGCTCCATTCTAAAGCGAATTAGTTTATAGATTCTGACATTTTGTAGATGTTACCTTGGACTTTCTTGTTCATAGCTTCCGAGTGAATGGAGCCAAGCGAGCCGCCAAGTTTTTGGCATTGAGATTTTGCGTCAGCGTGTGTGACCTTTTTGAGGAGCTGAAAAATCTGCCGATGACGAGTGGAATAATAATTTACCGTATAGCAATTCCCCCCAACACCATCCAAGGCCCGGCCGGTCGAGCATCCTGCCTAAAACAATTCAATTAAACTTGCTGCCCGATAAATACTTATGGCCCGAAGAGCCCGATAGCAAACTTTAATGGGGTAGCTCAGGTTCTGAAACTTGGGCTGGTACCTTTGATACATTATATACACCAGCCGTTAACAAGCGGCTGGACTTCGGGCTACCCGCCCCCCCCCCGCGCTCCCTCCCCTCGCCGAAGCGCGCGCGACCTGGCTCACTATGCCCAAAATCGTGCAACTAGCCGTTTTTACTGCCAGATTACAAAAATATATTGTTAAATATGAAAATGAAGTTTTTAAAAGCTTTTCTTGACCGGTTTGGGGGTTTCTGACAGCGCTCTATCCGAATCCGAAGAGACATAAGTTCTAGTTCCTTCCCCTTCGTGTTGGATTCGGGACATGACGGACAGACGCCACAACTTTTTAATTGATAGGGATAGTGCGCACTTTACATGGTGACTTACCTTTGGTAGAACCGTTGTTTTGACGGTAGTGGGGTTTCTGGGCGGTGCTGGTACGACACTAAGGTTACTTGGGTAGATTATCTGAAAATACTAGGCGATGAGGTGAATGACTTGATTACTAAAAGTATAGTAAAAAAGTGCCTTGTACCTTGTTATAGTAAAACCTACAGCTGACATTGAAAAGCCAAAACATGCCAGCAACAGCGCCAATAACCTGGCCATTTCGGTTGGCGATTGGTAGGCGAGCTGAGCGGCGGTTGTCTTTATACATCAGACATACAAAAATCACGATGCAAAGAGATGCTCTCAAGGAGCGGTGAACCCTGACCGTTGGTCTTGTTTTATTTGAGGGCGGCGTTGGCTTCAGCAAAATTGATGCCACGAGAATCGTACTGAAAGGTGTTTTTAATTGGACTAGAAATTTTATTTGAAAATCAGCTTACCTGATGCAGAATTTTTAGTTGATTCCGAATTTTGTGACTCGCCAAGATTTTCAGGCCATCCGGGCGGCTTGACGCCGGTAAAAAACCTATTCCTGGACTAAATGTCGGTTCTGACCATGAGATAGCTAATTTCAAAGAGCATATTTTTGACCGCAGGCCGACGTCTACCTTGTTCCAAAAGTACTCTACAAGTTTTCTAGAATAATCAGGCCAGTGTTTCAATTAACAACAAAAGGCCAACAAAAGGTTTTCAATTTTGACATCGGGTTTCTCCGGAAATTTGGAAAACAGATTCGGAATCGGTGAAAACTTCTGCACATGATCAGCTAGGTCGCGAATTAGAGTGCGGCTTATTCAAATCAAATCGCGACTCAAACCGGTTTGATTTGAATAACGGAAATCTTATTCAAACCCGGTTTGAATAAGCCGCAACTCTAGTCGCGAATCAAATTTCCAGCCTATGTAACGTCGCGTTACTGTTAGTGGCGTTTGGAATTAGCAACATATCGGACCAGCCCATAATTTCTACAGAACTACATCCCGGCCGGCCGAGAGGAAATTTTGACGAAAAACTAGGAATCGCAGCGGCTGGGCTGGATACCTACTCGAAAACTGTTTGACGATTTTTGCCGATTGTGCTGGAGAGAGATAGAAACATTGTAAATTCATTTATTCATGCAATTGTAAGAACAATCGTTTCATTTCACCCATTTGCTTCATTCTGTAAAGAATCTGTAAGTCATGGAAAATCAAAAAACTTTCATCATGCCGTATTTTTGGCATATGGCGTTTTCATACATTCTGAACGCGTGGAAAACTTGAAACGTACCGGAATCTGGCACAGCCCCATGCAGTAAACCGGGAATTGGCATCCGAGGTCCAGCCATTTTCCGACGTAGTCCCTAGGTCAGGATGTAGCTTTTATAACTCAAATCCACCACTTTCCGCCCTGACCCTCATAGCCGTTCCAGAGTTTCACGTACATCTGAAATTGACAAAAATGTTCATAGTTATCATGGAAAAAATATCTGTGTTTGTTTCCGGCAGCATTAAGAACCACTCTAACCTGAATGCAAAACTCATCGCCCCAATCAACAGGGTCTCCTGCCTTCCGGTCCGGCTCGCCGACGTCCCAATTCGTGTAGTCCATCGGGCTCCCGTCCATCCAGTGGAAATCGCCATCTTTTTTCTAAAGAGACGTTTTAGTAAAGAGACAGATACGTGGTGTCCCAATAAAAAAAACCCGCTAACTCACCGTAGATGTATAAGATCGTAACAATAGTTACACCATTCGAATGCCTTTGAAACGGCGAGTTTGCAATGTTGATTCAAAACCATGTTTTTATTTCGACTAGCTACTTTACAAACCACATAATTTTTGGCATCTTCGAGGTTGCATACGAGCCAGTTTGCTGCAAGTTTCTCAAGCAAAATGACTAAGTATGCAACAGGTGTTCTTTAATGTTTTAGAAATTGTTGTAAAATGGCGCATTTAAATAAGAACAAGGGTTTCAAGGCTGTTGCAGACTCGCCTTTTCAAGAATTTTCGAAGGGTGTAACTATCGCGCCCTGTACAGTTATTTGTTTTTTTATGGTCCGAATTTGAACCACTCACGCTCGATGCGCCGAGCAGCATCTTGCAACCGCCACCGCTGTCTGGGTGTGCCAGGGCCCCGCGCGCTAATTCTGAAATGGTGGATATAAGCTTTCTTGGGGGGGTTTATCGCCGAAATTAATTTTCAGATACGATTTTTAAGAATTGAGCAAGTGGAATTTCCGAAATTTCGGGCCTTACCGCGCCCCATAGTACCTCTGAACTATTTTCTGAATTTTCTAGCGAACTAGGGGTACCTATAATCTTTTGATTCTGGGCAGCCGAATGTACGGATCCGAGCTTGCCGCCAAGTTGCGCGCACTTGTCCGTCACCTCGGCAAACGTCATGCTGCCGCCAGGTTTCAAGACGGGCTAAAATTTTGAATAATGGCTTGTAAAATTATTCGTTTTGTGATTTTAATTTTTCCACTTGCCTGATAGCAATACTTTCCACCCTGCTCGATCAGGCTGCCCACCTTGCAGCCCTAAATTTACAGGATTATTTAAGTTGACTAATTTAGTGCACAACCTCAGCTTGCGAAATAGTGAGCATGAGCAGCAGTAGGAGGTGTATCTCGACCACCATGTTGTCGACTGGCTGCGGAAACTTTGGATTCCATACAATCGAAAATTCGGACACCACCAGTGAGTCTTCATGTATATTCAATAGGCTTTTGTCTCGAAACATTACTTGCAGATTCTTACCGTAGTAGCCGGCAATACCAAAGGTTGCCTGCTTATCGCCCCAGCCGAATGTCCTGGGCTAACCGATGTCGTAAGATTCCGCCATAGCGGCCTTGAAAATGTACGATTCTTGATATAAAGGTACGATATAAGTTAAGCCGCCTCCCAGAGCTCTCGTAATCGAGGGGAAGGATCTTCGAGAGAATTTTTGAAAATCCGCAAAGGCAGTGCTTTTTCCAGCTTCTTTTCTCTTTTTCTTGGAAGCTAGGACAACTCCAGGTCCCCTAGATTTTTGGCAACATTCAAATTTCATGCCCGTTGGCCAACGGCGCTATCCGGAAAACAAAAAGTACAGGCGCTGAAAGCATGCGATGGTCAACAAATTGACGACCATGAGAAGATCAACAGGGGGGTGGTGCTTATAAAAAAGCCGAGCGTGGCACGACAAGCTCAGTCCTATCGCTTTGATACATGTAGTTTTCCTGCATTTTTTCATTTACTTACTGATCCTTATTTTTTTTATATGTACCGGATTTCGCTAAACTATCGTAAATGTTTAGCGCAATAAAAACCTGCCACCATAATGTCACTTCGCGATAATCGTGTGGACAACTTGAATGAGCCGTTGAGCAAGGGATTGGTGCGTTTATTTATATTTTGAAGGACCACGATTTAAATTTATGGATACGATCGCAAAAATCTTTGAAAATACAACCTACGACCGCTAATTTTGTCAATTCAGCTCGAGGATCGCGGTGGGGTCCAAATGAAGGATGAGGGCGTGAAAAGATCAAAGGACTTTAGTCACGGACGAGAAGACAAGGTTTCTATTTTTGTAATCTTTCTAACTCCTGCGGATTTTGAATTATGAACTTTTGTAGATAATTTTAGTTATCTAAAACAATAAATCCCTAAATTCTCATATTTTAAATTCTTCAGGACCACCATCGCGACCGCGACCCATGTGAGCAAAACCCAAATGCCCGCCTGCCTGAGCATTTGTTTTCGAAATACTAAAGCTATATTTCCTCATCGGTTATGTCGTTTGTAATAAATAAATTAATAAAAATAATTTATCGTAAATTAGGCCTTCGTTTCCTTGCTGGGAGACGAGCCGGGTGCCTGAAAGCTTCTTTTGAGAATCATGCTCTTTGAAAAACGGCAACGTTTGGAAACTCTATGCAAGATCTTGTACTCGGAGGGTATAAACCTAAATCTTCTATTTTTTTTAATTACCGTGAAGCTTGTGAAACAGGGCTATTTCCCATCGACCAAAATACAGGTAATATCTGGTAAAATTGATCGATTTCGAACAATTCTATTGGGTTTTTACCATGAAAGCAACCTAAAAGGCTAATCATAACAGGCCAGCGCATAAGCATACCTCTCAGCTGCATTTTTTAAAATTATCACTGCTATTTTGCCAGATTGTGCGAGGAAGGGGGCTGATAATGGGAGTCTCACCTTCTTGCAAACTCCAACCAGGTCCTTCGCATCACAGTCCAGCGCATGCCAGCGGTGGACTTCTCTATCGTCGGGTTTCGCCGCGTCCGTGGACTCGGTATAGCTCTAAAAATGTCAAAAAACGTTCTTTAAGACCAAAATGCATGGCCGTACCCCAACGCAATTGGTCGTCTGATTCCAGGAGGTCGTCGGGTTCCAGAACTCGACGTCCCACGGGGTGCCGTCCGACCAGGTCCACGGCCCCATCGCTACCTGAAATTAGGTGATGTGATTTGGCACGATCTCTCGGTTATTCCATGAAAACGAATAATGGCTTCTATTACTAAATGAGCTATCCAGAATTATCCTGCCACTTCTTATGTAGAAATTGTAATTTTTCATTTACCTTTTTCGCGCCGAGCCACACCTTCTTGAATCCATCCTCCTGAGCCGTACCTGAAACAGATGATCGAGAGGTTAAAAAGCATCTACTTACGGAGCACAGCCTCATTTTCCAAAAACGACGTCACCGAGGCGAGATTGGCATCCTGCGACAGACAATATTCTTGAGCAGCACCGCTGTTTGACCTGCCGTTGGTCGTCTGAATATAGAGTCGAATGTAAAGTAAGCAACTGTTATTACTTATGCCTTACTACATTTGGTACCGATCTTCTCTCTTTCTCTCGCTCTCTCTCTCTTTCTCTCTCTATCTCTCTTTCTCTCTCTCTCTCTCTCTCCCTCTCTCTCTCTCTCGCTCTCTCTCGCTCTCTCGCCCTCTCTCTCGCACTCTCACTCTCTATCCCTCTCTGTCTCTCTCCCTCTCCCTCTGTCTCTATCTCTCTCGCCTATTCGGGATACCCTATATAAAAATAGCACAAACCTTATAGCAAAATCCAGTCAGGGGACAGCCCGACCAGCCGACTTCACACGCCGGCTTGGTGAAGGTAGGCGCCTCCTGGGTTAGCATGTTACGAAGCTTAAATGAAGGATACCTGACCAATTGCGCGCTTGCAAAGGCCCTTCTTGTGCTGGTGGCAGACGCTCATTTGCAGCTTTCCGCTTGGCTGAAAACTTTGTCGTTCCCGTTCTATTCATAGTTCAAACCGAGCTTGAAAGTCTGTCCCAAAGAGCCTAGGTTTTTTATAAAATTCCAGTCATAATTCCCAACAGGCAACTGCCAAAATCCCGAATATCATAATCCTCACAGCGAAAATCGCCAAGGTCAAAATACTGAAAGCCAAAATTTTGGCATTTTCTTGACGCTAGTCGAATTCAACTTTTTCACCGCTATTTTGGATGTCGTGATTCCGGCCTGTCGGGGTTTTGGCTGTCGGGATCACGACTTTTTTTGGCGTTTTCATACGCCATGATACCACGTTTTGTCAAGCTTTTCGAATTTATTTGTTATTATTTTATCACCAGCAACCAGGGCGTAGATTTTTTCTTCTCCTGATTTTCTCGTCAGTTTTTAATTTCCATCTTTATAGCTATGAAAAAATTCTTATCTGCTTACTAAGTGAGCTAGGGGCGATTACCGATGGTAAAGATTGATGCAACCAACCAGCATGGTACCGCAATACTTTTCACTCTGGTAGTCGGGCGCCGGGTCCCAGTTTCCGAACTTGGCCTCACTCCCGTCCATCCAGTGGTTCACCCGGGGTCCGGCCTTGCGAGAGTACTGAAAAAAGCTCTGGATACCCAACCAAATTCCAACGATTATTAAAACTAGCAGAAATCGGCTGCTGAAACTAGCAGATATTCTCCCAATTCTAGTCAAATACTCCTTGAGCGTAACCTACCGCCAGGGCTCCGACCCACACCATCATACCCTCGTTCTCGTTCGTGATCAGGTCTAATAGGCGCTGTTAGCAACAAAATTTTGTCGAACCAACCAAGCAATGCCTGATTCTCTTCATCACTCAATACAGAAGTCAAATGACCGCCCAGTTGGGCACACTTGAACTCCGAGTCCCAGAAGGTTGTCCCGTCCATGATCTAAAGTTATGAAGTGAAGACCAAAGCTCCAAGTCATCTGCAAACCTTGTAGCAGCTCTTTGAACCCCTCTTCAGTAGCCACCCCTCTTCGCATTCCTTAAAAAAACTATAGGCCAGGTCTCCAGAATCAACCAACATCAGCAGCAAAAACCATGGCCGCTACGCCCAAAAATATGAGCCGCCTGAACATTTTGAGAGTCCTGTAACCGGGCGCCACCGATACCTAGGCGACCCTGCTATTTGTACCGCATCTACTGGTACTGCATATTCATTTAGGCTGCTAGGTCTTATTCAAGATCTTCGGTTTTTGGTCAAATGCTGCGAACCTTATGCAGTTGGATATGCACTTATCGGTTCATCGACTCCCATGAAAGTCTGATGAAAGTTTTTCTTTGCCACCGCGAAAACTGCGAAGTGATATGTATCTGTCAGCATTCAAGTCTCGTGAATTTGCGGAATAGCCACAGAGCTGACAAGACAATTGCATATCGTAGGCTTCCGTTTGCCATACCAACAAGGTAATTTGATCTATTCCTTTTCGGAGCAGAGACACCTGGAAGAGCCCTGATTTTTACAAAGAGCATTTTCGTTTTCGAGCCAACGATTTGCACCGAAACGAGGAGAAATTCCCGCCCGACACAAAAATTGGTAAGACTTTACTTTACTCCCCCCCCAACAGCCAAAGGGTCACAAATTTTCGGTATTTTCGCTGGTTTTGTCCTGATATTGAATGCACCATTCGATTGAGCGTCGAAAAATATACTAAGAGTTTTAATTTGAACCTACAATAATGTAAAATAAAAAAGTTATAGCCAAAAACTTCCGGCTGGGGGGGGGGGGTAAAGTAAAGTGTAGCCGAAAAATTGGTGCCTGACTTTCGGTGCGGTCAGTACCACAGAGCAAAGTATCGTCTCGGTGCTCTACATACATTGAACTCCTTGCAGAAAGTCCTCCCCGAGTGATGGGACCAATTCGGCGTTTGCAACCTGCATGCCAGGCGCCCCCCCGTTTTCCCACGTATGAAATGTAAAAGTAAGCAATAAAATCAAAGAATTTTATTGACTCCAAAAACCTTTCTTTTAAGCCGTTACTCCACCGATCGGGTCCTAAAAGCCATTTAGAGATTAGCTGATACCTGGTACCTTCATGCAAACCCCAACCGCATCCTTTTTCCCACAGTCCGCCGCCGACCAACGGTGCCGGCTATCCAGATGGTCAAAGTGGAGGCTGTAGAGCTAAAAAAAACGATTGAATAGGAAATATAATAATGGGAATACCGAGAATCAAAAATGATTTTTTTTCCTCACCACTAAACAATTTTTATCGTTGCCAGAAGTCGATGGGCCGTCGGCTGACCAATATGCCCCATCGAACTTGTTCCCGTCGAGCCAAGCAAATCTTCCGTTGGAACCCTAAATATGAAAATTCGAAACTTTATCTTCGGACTAACTGTAAGTTACCGATTGATATATTGTTATTAAAATATAAGTTTTACCCTCTTCGCTCCCAGCCAGACGCTGTTGAACCCGTTGGACTCGGCTAGTTCTGGAAGGTAGAAATTTTTTGCGTACAGCCAGTCCCAATTAAGATACCAGGCACGCATGAACATTCTGACGGCAGCTAAAACTGAACTAGTCCGAAGATACTTACCAATGATAAACTCCTTCTCGAGGTACGAGGTCACCGAAGCGCCTTTGCCATTCCAGTTCAAGCACGTTTCTTGGAAGCCCATGCTGTTGGTCTTGTTACCCGTTAGCTAAAACGGCATTAAAATAGAATATGGAAGGGGATAGAGGATTTATATACGCAAAAAGTTTCGAGCGAAATCTATCGTACACCACTCCATAATTCGGGGTTTTTTCTTTAAAAAGCTTACCTTATAACATTTCCCGGTATGTCTCGACCCCGTCCATCCGTCCTCACAGTTTGGCTCTTTCAGGCTTGGCGTCTTCGTTCCGAAGGGACGTTTACAGATGCCGTGCATCAGCCTGGCCTGGCACCATTGGTGCAGCATTATGCCATTGGGCTGGAAAAATTAAGCCAGTCTGCGACATAAGGTACCCCCTACACTCAATAACGTGCAAAAGAAGCTGGGAATTTCCCACGGATCGCCCCAGGTTGAATACGCCTGCTCCTCACCATTCATCCAATAATTCTTCGGGGCGTCGTGGTCTTTGGACATCTCAAAAAAAAATGATTGATTGCCAGTTAAGGTATACTTATACCCAAATAATAGATCGTCAAAAATCAAAATAGCGTGAAAAAGCTTTCCGTTGCTATCTAAAGCTATTTTCAGTAGTGCCCCCCTAAAAAACCCGCTATAACCTAAGAAATCCGTATAAAAAGCTATAATATACTGCAAATAAAATCAGATAGGTAATTATGATATACCTAATGGAAAAATTAATCAAAAACCCGGGCTTCTGCTGTGCAATAAACAAGATATAGTAGGAAATACAAAAAGAGGTCTTCAAGACCGACATTGTCTTAAAAGTAACGCACTGTGTGCTACGTAAGTATACTAGCTATTACACGTACGTAAGTATACTACAAGCTATCTTACATAGGTATGCTAGCCACGAACACCTATGCTCCGGAAGATATCCTTGAGGATTACTGCTAGCCTACGTTTCGATACCATAGAAACGTCTTACAATATGCGTAGATCCCTACCTTCATGCTCCCAATCCATATCGATTGTTTTGGAATCTTCTCCGCGATAATCCCTAAACATCTTGAAACTTTTGGTCTGTTATTTCTTACCAACTAGCGCTTGCTTCTCCTCGTCATGCAAAACTGTAGTGACCTCTGCGCCATGGTCAGCGCATTCCCTCGCTGCCGTCCGGAAATTGTCCTTTTTTTCGGTGACCTAAACATAGACATCTTTTCAGTGCAGATTTTACACCTTGTAGCAGTTCTTCGTGATCAGCGACTGTTTCCAGCCTGGCTCGCAGTTCTAAAGCAGTGCAAGAAGTTTTTCTTTGATTTCATAAGATATTAATGACTGCAAATTACTTACCTCGGCCACAACCGCTATTACAGGAATTAAGAAGCCCAACAATTTTAGCATTTCTGCGAAAGGGTTTTGCTTTTTGGTCTTTTGCCGGTTTTCGTTTCGACGCACCCGATTTTTTTACTGTCGCATGAATAAAATATTTTATGAAGGGAAAGTTCTGGGGTGGCCAGACAAACTTATTCAAAAGGCGCTGTTGTTTTGGGATTCAAGATTTGAAAGGTCGAATTTGAAATCTAGAGCTTGATCTTTGGACTTTTCCCGATTCAAAGCCGTGATTTCGAAACATTTTCGTCCTTTTTCGACGGATTAAATTGACGAATTGAAATGACGAAATGGCCTTCCAGACAAAACGCTAAAAAAAATTAGCAAAACTCTTTTAACTCGGATCGGTGTTAATTCATAGGAGCTGCTCTTCAATTCGTAGGTATTTCGTATGAGAATTTGCCATAATTTAATTTATTCCATAAAAATTTGTTGTTATTATTATTTCGTGGGCTCATTCAGGCTTTCGGCTTTCCGGGCTAAAACTCGTTCAAATTTACACAGGAAATCGAAACTGACCTTCTTGCAAACGCCCATCGCGGTGCCGCCGCAATCGTGCTCGGCCCAACGGTGCAGGATCGTCGCATCGTTGTCCACCTTGCCGAACAGCTGAATAAGATGTTTCAGGGCAAATTAGCAGATATTCTTTGGAGGTTTCACAATTAATTTAAAAAGCCTCTTACCACCAGACAATTCTTATCGGTTCCAGAGGTTGATGGGCCGGTTACCGACCAGTAGGCATTATCCCATTTCGACTGGTCGATCCATTCAAATTTGCCATTGGTTCCCTAAAATGTTGGTAGTGCCTTTAAGGTTTTTTCATTTGCGCTAGACGGGAAATACTAACCCGTCTAGCTCCCAGCCACACAGCTGTGGTATTGGCTTGCTTGGCCAGGTCAGAATTAAAAATAGAAGCTGTAAAATTTTGATAAATAACTCTTTAGGTTTTCGTTCTCTCTCGCTCTCTTTCTCTCCCTCTCGCCCTCCCTCTCTCTCGCTCTCTCTCTCGTTCTCTTGCTTTCTCGCTGTCTCTCACCCAGAATAAATTCCTTCTCAAGGAACGACAGCACCGAAGCTGGCTGAGCATCAGCAGCGAAGCACTCTTCCTGTGCATCGCCACTCTTCGTGATTTTGCCGGTCAACTAGAGAACTGTATCCAAGTACAGATATCTACTTCTCACCCTATAGCAACTACCGGTAAACTTTGAGCCCTTCCACCCCTCATCGCAGATCGGTTTCACCAGTGGGACCGGCGCATGTCCGATCGGTCGCTTGCAAATCCCTTTGAGTTGAGCGCCGCAAAGGCTTTGCTGCATGACACCGTCCTTCTGAATTGTGTCGCTGTATCTCTCTCTCGCTCTCTCTCTCTTTCTCACTCCCTTCCCGCACAATCAGCTTTACTCTAAACTTTCAAAGACCCTACGTACATTTTTCTGCACGCAGAACCTCTCCATGTCGTATTTGGGCGGAATCCCTTTCCAGAGACCCATATTCGGGTCCACCGGTGTCCCATCCATCCAATAGATCTGCGTATTATCTCCCCTGGTCATCTGGAAAATTCGAGAAGGTGAGGGTCACCCACCCTAAACGCGTTTCGTCTGAAACCCATTTATTTATTTCCCATTTTCCACCCCTCTGGTTATGAGGATGGTCGAGAATTCAGACAAAATGGGTCGCCAGCGGATGTGGAGAGACAAACCGAGATTTAGGCGAAATAGGTTTTAGGCAAAGGGGGTTCGAAAGCTTGAGCCTCGGAAAGCACTGACTGTAAAGTGTTTTTACTCAACTTGGAGTTTGGTTTCGGGGCCAAGTGCGTCTGGTGCAGAATTTTTCGCTGATTCCGAATCCATTTTCCAAATTTGCTACCGACATTTACATTGAAAGTTATAAGGCAATTATGGTAGAGTTTTTCACCAAAATTAAGGTACCGTTATCGCTTTCGAATGTCTTGATCAATTTCAACGTAAAAATTGGATAGACATTGGCTGGACAAGCTTCTAACAGGTCAAATCAAGTTTTTTAATAAAAGAATTAGATTTGTTATGCAAAAAGCAAAAGGTTGTGGCAGGGCGGGGGATCGAACCGCCGCCCTGCGCTTGGCAAGCGAGGACTTTGCCAATGCATCATGGTGCCAACCGGGCAATGGGCTGTGCGAGCCTACTTCAGGGCACCTGGGAGTCCTAGGACCAAGGAGGGAATAGTGGGCCAGAATCCTAACTTTTGGCTTTTTTTAGCTTAATTTGCACCAAAAATTACTTTTTAAATAAAAGTCCGTAGCAAATTTGGAAAACGAACTCGGAATCAGCGAAAAATTCTGCACAAGATGCACTTGGTCCCGAATCGAAACTCCAAGTTGAGTAAAAACACTTTACAGTGAGCTTGGGAGGCCGATGGCTTTTTCCAGGAAAATTCCAGGAATCCGCTTGTCACGAACGTTTTTTTGTGGTTTTTTCTCATCAGCCTTACCAAAATTCCGCCAACCCAAGCGTCGTAGTTTGGAATGTTCTTCTGCATTAGACCTAAATCGTATGGGTGTCGGTCCGATATTAAAAGATGCGGAATTTTTAGGGACTCTCCTTACCATAAATCGCCTGGTTCTCCTCGTCGGTCAGAATTGACGTCAAATGTGCTCCTTCTTCCACGCATTTCCCCTCGGCAGCCCAGAAGGTCGTACCGTCAATCATCTAAATATCTACTTACATAAATTCTCTTTATTCGATACCTTGTAGCAACTCTTACTGCCCAACGAGGTCAGCCATCCCTGCTCGCATTTCTGAATTTTTGTTTGATACACTTTTTTCCATTGTACTCAATAACTTGTGAATTTTCTAGATTAACGGTTATTTTTCTGTATTACGTTATAAATGTACGCTATACAAACTTACATCAGCCGCAAAGCTACCCGCAAAAACGGAGAAAAAGATAAGGTGGCCCAACATCTCACCGGAAGCCGCGGCGCCTGCTTTTTTGCCTTCATCTTTATACCCGTCGCCCTCTTTAACATGCACGAAATTCCTTTTTCAGGGCCCGACAGTTGCGATTTGATTTTTATTGGCCAAATCGAATTTTTATCGTGGAAAATCGGCTGTTGGAGCCGAGATTGCACAGCAGATCAATGGATACTCGTAATAAAAAAAATGCCTTAAACAATCATAAATGATGAAGATGATGCGCAAGATAGTGGATAACATGCAATAAGGAGTTGTGTCGTGTAACGAAAAATCGTCGATAAAAATTGTTTATTGCGAACGAAACTGGCTGTTTACGCGCTCGGCTTTGGGTTTCCGGGCTAAAAAAGGTCATTGGGGAAAGCAAAGTAAAACAAACCTTCTTGCACATTCCCATGTGCTCCGTGTTGCAATCCCCGGGGAAATAACGATGCGCGGTAGCCGACGACAGATGGTTGCATACCTGGGATCAAGCGAAAAATGGATGTGCAATTATCCTCAATCCTCACCAGCAGACAGTTCTTTGTGTTGTCCGGTTTCTCAGGTAGATCCGAATTCCAATAGCCCGTCTCCCATTTCGATCCGTCGTTCCAGGTAAAGACACCGTCGGCGCCCTGAAAGAGGGTTCCTCTGGCAGATTCGGAAAATTGTCGCCGAAAGCTTGCTAACCAGGAAACGCAGGCGCTCTCTAACTATAAAAAAACTATAAGAAATTTTGGGATAAAGGCTTGAAGCAAAAGCATGGTGCCCCACATTGCGGAGAACTTGCGCCTCCGGAGGTGCCCGCCCCACGGGGTAGCGGCGTGGAAAGGAGTTCCCCGTTGCTGGGATTCGAACACTATACTGCCGCCCTCGCGTATCGTACATAAGAAAAAACTGATCGAAAATAGAAAAACGTATTTTCCACCGAATTTCGACAATCCTATAAGACCCACCCGCTTCGCACCCAGCCATGTGTCTGTATCCTTCTCAACCGACTTGGCTTTTTCTGTAAACTTGCTTTCTGGCTAAGTTTTGGGCTTGCGGCGTTTAACCAGCTTTGGCTTACCTAGAATAAACTCTTTCTCCAGGAAGGAATTAGCGGACGCGAGTGTAGCGTTTAATCCAAGGCAGTACTCATTAGCGGCGCCACTCTTTGACGCGGGGGTCAACTAAAAATCGAAAACTATTTGTGAAACCGAGTCGGACGATTCAAACGAACCACTACAGGGCAGGCCGCTTTTTAGAATACCTTATAGCAACTTCCGCTCCACTTCGATCCCTCCCACCCTTCGTCGCACAGCGGTGTCTCCAATTTTGGCGCCACCTGGCCGATAGGACGCTTGCAGATACCCTTGTACAATGCGTCACAAAATCCCTGTTCGAGGCTGCCATTGCTCTGAAAAACAGGAAACTGCAGCTAGTTCTCCTGCAGGGCTAGCGCGGTTCTCGCACCTGCTCAAACGCACGCAACCCACGTTTTTGCGGATGCAATGTTCCCATTTAGTAATGTCGGGCTGACCGGCCTTTTTCCAAATGACACTGTTCATGTCAATCGGCGTCTCGTCCATCCAGTGAAACTGCGTCTTGGCTTTGGTCATCTGGAATCGGTACACGAATGGTCAGTAGAGACGCATTTGGCTACATTTCCCCCCCAATCGCCGCACGATCTGACCACAAGACCGAAATACGTTGTATCTAATTCTACTTCCTGCCAGCGTTAGCGCGCTCGAATTCTATTTCCTCGAATGTGCTTTGCCCCCGATTTCTCAAAATTAATGAAAACCATACCAAATATCCGCCGACCCAAATCTCTTTGCCGGGAATCTTCGTGTTGACCATATCTAAATGTGCGCGTCTATGAACGTTTCCTACAGGCTACCCTTAGCCTAGATGTGAACTTTGGTACTTCTCACCATCGATAAACTGGTTCTCCTCATCGGTTAGAATCGACGTCAAGTGCGCACCGTCCAACGCGCATTCCGCCTCCGCGTCCCAAAAGCTTTGCCCGTTGATCATCTGGAATCTAACCATTTAAACCAGCGGGTTTATTTGACCTTGTAGCAGCTGCCCGCCACTTTAGAAACGGCCCACCCATCTTCGCAGTCCTGAAACGTTATAGGTTTCCACTAGTGTAATCTACCACACAAAACGTCGTGTTTTCCAATGCCCAAAAACTCTTCGAAACTTTTTGTGACTTTTGATGCACCTTAAGACATAACACAGCTTACCTCGGCAATAGCAGCACCCGCAACAAGCAGGGCAAGCACCAGCCGGCCCGACATGGTAGCAGCAGCGAGAGACACCTTTAGAGCCGCAAACCCCGCGCCTAAATTCTATCGAAAAATCTGCGATTCAAATACCATCTGACTCCTTCTTGAATTTCAAGCAGCGCTGTGGATTCCGCCGCCGAACTTTGGTCAGATCCGGGGTCCCGAGAGCGATTTCTATAGAAAGTAGTTTCTAGAACCGGGGGTGTTCCTCGCAGGGAAATTTATTGTTTGATCCAGTTCTTAAAAGAGATGAATCCATACAAAGGCGTAAAATGGAACGGATCAAAATGCCTGGCAGCAGATTGGTACTTTGGTACCAGAGCTCACCCCCGCTTCGCGGGGGTTGTGCGCTGGCCCTGCGGGGGGGGGGATTTCATCCCCTGGCAGGACGGGCGGCGGGCGGCGGGCGCACCGACATTAGGAATTTTTATATATAAGTGATAAGTGATTGCCCTAACACATTTCGATTGGGCCGAACGGTAAATTACGACGAATAACGTTAGATGACTTACTAAGACCCTTAGGTCATGCTAGACAATCGGTACTCCCTCGCATCCGAAGATCTGCCTCAGCATAAACCAACGTGCTTTTTACATCCTATGTTATTGATAAGTTATTTTGTTGCGCGTGTTTGAAACCTTATATGATTCAGCGATAGTACACTTTATTTCAAAGCCAATGGCAATTTCCTCTCAGGCCTTCGTTGGGCTAGGGCCCTTGTTTCCGGCCTGCAAGAATGCGAATAATATTCAGATCAATCGAGACAATAAACCTTCTTGCACATTCCCATCATCTCCTTGTTGCAGTCATCAGCATAATATCGATGCATGCTGACCATGCTTACGCGCTCCGGACTGTTACATACCTGTAATGGCTTCATATTTAATCAATAAAGCCCATAAATGACACATGTGTAGCTGCTCGGGGAAATATGAGGCTTTCTGCATCGTCAAGCCTACCACGATGCAATTTTTCGTTGTTTCGTTTCGCGACGGTGCCCCATAGGCGCTCCAGTATCCGTTTTCCCATTTTGACCCATCCAACCATTCAAAGTCATTGCTGGCGCCCTTAAACAATGTTTTTTAAAGATCTCGCGAGCAGAAACTTTCAGAAGTGGTGTATTTCATATCAGCGCCATTGATAAAACACAAAACGAACCCGTTTGGCCCCTAGCCACGTGTCCTCGTTATTTGCGGCCTTGGCCTTTTCTAAATCCTTGATGTAACAACTTCGTAATTTTCCTGACTCCTCGAATCAAAACTTTATCTTACCGGCCTCTATCGATGACTGTATTAAGTGCAACATACCTAAAATAAACTCTTTTTCGAGGAAAGTGAGAGCGGAAGCCAGGTCAGCACCCCATCCCAGGCAAGTCTCCCGGGCAGCGCCACTCTTCGAAACTGGCGTCAACTAAATTGGCAAACTTTCGGATTGGTGAAGCCTAAAAAAAGCCCCGCCAATGGTGAACTAAGTGGTTGTCTGCAATTTGACATGGCTGAAACTTTCATTGACTTGGACTAGGATTCATTTTACTCATTCCACTGATTCCAAATCGTTTTTGGAATTCGCGGAAGAGCTATAACAAAGTTACGGAAATCGCACAAGTTCCGAACTCGAGATTCATGAAAAGAATGTTGCCGAATAGCAGCAATCGCATGGCAAGATTGAAAAGCTAGTTCGCTAGATTAATTACATGCACCCTTATTCACGTTCATACAACGATTCAACCTTGTAACAACTGCCAGTCCACTTCGACCCCTCCCAACCCTCTTCGCAGGTCGGCGTCTCTAGCTTCGGTGCCACCTGGCCGATCGGTCGCTTGCAGATCCCTTTGTACAGCTCATCACAAAATTCTTGCTCCAGGCTCCCATTGCTCTAATAAAGCTATTTGTCATCGGATCGGCTGCTCGCCAAGATTCGGCGCCTCAGAACTAACTCAAACTTACTGTTTTGCGTATGCAGAATCGCCGCTCTTTGATGTCTGGCTTGCTGCCCTTGTTCCAAATGACATTCTCGGGGTCAACAGGTGTACCGTCCATCCAGTGGATCTGTGTCTTCTCCCTCGTCATCTAAAAAATGCTTAATATTTCTTACGTCGTAAATCTTGTTTGCAAAATCGGTGCTCATGCAGTTGGGGAGGGGGGGGGGCAGTCCAAAATTGGTAGTCAGAGGTTATGAGGTGATCCGCTTAAGCTACTTGGTTTTTCACTTAAGTCTAGTCTTAACGTAGCTTTAACTATGCATAGCTTCGGCTTAATCCTAAGCCTAAGCCTAAGTTAAGCTTATCTTGAGCTTTAACTTGACTTACGAGGTAAAAATCAGGTCATTTAGGGCTTAGAGCTAAGCCTAGCTTGACTCAAACTAAGATTCGTTGGTATGCAGCTAAGCCTAGGCTTAGGCCTAGTTTATCTTTTCCGGCGCCTTAGAGTTTAAAAAACGATGTTTGGAGCGTCTTGTAGTCGAAAACCGGACAGCCCCCCTCAAGTGCAATAGCACCGCAAAATTAAATTATACCAATAAGCCGCCAATCCACGCGTTGTGGCCAGGAATTTTCTCGGCCATCATTCCTATAAAGGGACAATGAGGTTCTTCTGAAGGTGACTTCTGGCGCTACTTGCAAAGGCAAGGTCGGAGGTATCGCAAGGCGAAGCTGGTTACGCACCCTCGATGAACTGATTTTCTTCATCGTTCATCAGTGACGTCAAATGGGCTCCTTCCAACGCGCATTCCGCCTCGGCATCCCAGAATGTCTGCCCGTTCACCATCTACAAATTCGTGTCCGAGAAATTCCGACATTTTCACCTTATAGCAGCTGTTCATCACTTTGTAGGGTGTCCACCCTGCTTCGCAGTCCTAGAATTGGTGTGGATTCGTATTTGAATAAAATTTGTTGAGAACCTGCACAAGGTCGTCGAAGGCAAAAAGCCTACCTCGGCAACTACGATCCCCGCGAAGAGCAAGGTAATAGAAAATTGGGCTAACATCCCACCGGAAGTCAGAAATGCTACATGGTTTGCCCGGCGCTTCTTATACTCCTTCAAAAAGTCGGTTATTTCCAATTCAGGGAGCAGCTTTGAATGCATAACCTAAACTCTGGTTTTTGGTCGCAAAAGCATCGGATGTTGGGATGCAGATAAGCTGGTAACAATGTCAACTCATGAGGTAGGAAGGTCTTCAGGAAGGTACCACCAGGTGAAGTTCACGATTAGCCCTTTCATCAAGCACTCGGCCTTGCTGATCACCTCCCCTGATTTAGTTCAAACCCACTGGCGCTACCGCCTTAAAAATTCATGAGACAACCGACGCCCGCGCCTGATCAAAGCGCAACAGAAAGAGTCTTTTCCGAGGAAAAAGGCCTCATAAAAGTCAAAACATGGGCCGCGACAAGAAGGTTTTCCGTGACCGCCGACCGCCACTTTGAATCAGCTATGGTTGGAAACGTCTTCTTCTTACTTTTGGTCTCCGTGGCTACCGTAGCCGCCGAGGTTTGGTTTGGGTTCCAACACGCGACATTATATGCCTCTTTCTAATGGGAATCTGGTTTCCACACCGGGCCTGGTCCATCTTGTGAAGTATTTTGAGCTGATTCTGAAGCTGATTTCAAATTTGCGAAACGACCAGACCGGAGCTGGTAACAACTTTAAGAGCACAAAAGTCACAAAATGGCTTGTTTTCGAGGCGTTTCCGTCGTTTTCGCAACCAAACTCTTCTAAACCTCTTTGGTCTCGTCGTTTCGTATTTTTTTAAAACGCTTTGGAATCAGCGCAAATTTTACACAAGTCTGGCTCGGTACCGTAACGGAAACCCGATTCTCACAAAGAAACCTATCGTTGTTAGTTGGGCTGTGAACCTGGGTGGACGCTGGGCAAAGGCACTGATCAGTGTTACAAGGTTAGATTCGCGATTGCCTAAAAATCCATGTGGCTTCAAGCGCGTCGAGGGCCTCGCCGACTACGACAAGGCGTTCGAAATCTGCAAAGGCCTCGACGCCGACCTGCCCAACATTCACTCGCAAGCCGAGAATGACGTGATACACTGTTGGTGTTTGCGACTTACTACACAAAACTTCTCACCGTAAAGTGTTTCTTTTTCTTTTTTTCTTTCTTCAAGTTTGGCAAATGCGGCTGTTGATATGAGATACCAAATTCCTGAGGCTCGGGATTTTTCGAATGAATCGGAATCCCGAAAATCGCGATTTTGACCGATTTGAGGTCCCGTCTTGGCACTGAGCGGCTACATTTAAAATAGCTTACCTAAAATTCATAATGACAAAATTTGCTTAAAGCCCGTTTTCAGCAATGGAAATACCCAACCAGCTCGTTCGACTTGGTGCCAAGCGGGTAAGCAAACATTGTTTGTGTTTTTTTTTGCAAAAAATGACGAAAAAATTAGGTAAGAGTTTACTTCCCCCCCCCCAGCCGAAGGGTCTCAAAGTTTTCGGTTTTTCGCTTATTTTGTCCAGATTTTCGTAATGCCATTTGATAAAGCGTCAAAAAATATACTCAAAGCTTGAATTTAAGCCTACAATAATGTAAAAATTAAAAAAGGTATAGCTAAAACCTTCCGGCTGTGGGGAGGGTAAATTAACAGGCCGTTTGCGAGAGACGCGAACAAGGCTTGGCACAGTTGTTTTAAAACCTTGTTTTTTTGACGCCATCTTAAAGATCATGGTCGAATTAGTAGGGTGGGATTGTTTTCAAAGTTTAAAAAGTTTAATTTTTGGGTTAAAATGGGCCTCAAAGCCGCCGACACCGAAAAAATATATCGAAAACTACTGCACCGAATTTACTGAAATTTTGCGACAATACCTAATTTGGGGCTGGGGATTTTTGTAATACATCGCGAAACCTGAAAGTGGCCGGAACATAGGTATATTGCGTATCAAAAACAGTTTTTGCGGAATTAGTAGTTTTACGGGTCACCAGAGCGCTTAACCACTAATGTCAAAAAATGCGCGCGAAATTTCTGCATAGAATGGTGTATCTTCTGGAGCGCTCCGCGCCCCCGTAAAAAAACGAAAAAGATAGTTTAATGTGGCGCCAACGCACCAAATTTGGCTATTATTCACCTCCTGATGATATTAAGAAACCAGGGAACATTGAGCATAATGTTATCTAAGCTATCTGTTTCAGATCAGCGGTGAAAAATATGATTTCATGTGGACCAATTACTCGCCAATGGACTTCAAGAAGTTCAACGACTATTACATGGACAACTCGAACGGAAATGAAAATTGCTTGGATGTGGGTTTTGGTGCTATCGGCTGTTTTGACGAACCAGCAAATACTATTTTCTCTCCTTTAGATGTCGCACGGAGATACCTGGAACGACATCCCCTGCCACATGCCCGAGCTGGTCGTGTGCCAGAAGAAAGCCACTGTAAGTATTGGGTTGGAACGTAAGTCTCTGCGTATTTTCAAGCTCAATTTTCGCGCCGAAATCCAAACTTTTATGTTGAGTTCTATATATCATTCGAAAGAGCATTTTTTGCTCTACAAGGCTGCTTAGTCGCTTATTTTATAACCGTGAACTTCGCATGTGTTTCGGGGAACGAAGTGTCGACGAAAATGACCCTCGAAGGCTCGACGACCGCACCATGCAAAATTTTTCTTTACCATAATTGTCAAATTCAATTTAATTCACTATGCACTTGCCCAAGCGGGATACAGGTTGATGCCAAAGATTAACAAGTTTATGGATTCCCTTCCGCTAAACCCGGGCTCAAATTATCGCACAAGGCAGTGGTTTTTCTTAGTTTACGCCTCTCCATGAAAATTTCGAGATAGCTCGTTTTATTTTGAACGATGTATATTCTTTTAAATAGGCAGAAAAGTCGAGCATAACACTTGGGATGTTTAAAATCCCTGTTTTTCACGCAGAAATTAGCAAGTGGAGGCAGAGCGTATTTCGGTCAATTTTTCGATCTGCTAAAAATTACTGAAAAGCTACTTCAAAGATAAACTAATTACATGAAAAAGAAGAAGAATAAAAGCTCTTTCGAAGTGCAATAAGTAGCCTGCACAATTACTTAGCTATCGAGCTCAAAATCGAGCTCAAAGGAAAACGGCGATTTTCATTCTAACCAATGAATTCGGAGCAATGTAAACGTAGAAAAATAAACTATGTCTGTGCCTGATAGAGAAAATAAAGATCTTTCGAATGATATATAAAACTTGCTCCAAAATGCTCTGGGAAGAGAAGCAGCGAGCCTTGAAAAAAGCGCAGAGACTTACGTTCCAACCCAATAGATGTGAACAGAGCAACGTTGACTTTTCACTTGTTTTCAGCACGTATCGTCCGGGAAATAAGCACCGAGTTGATGTGGATAAATTATACATTTTATGTGTATTTGCAAGCATATACTAACTCACACGCAGGGGCGTAGGTGACCTAAGTTACCGGCGAAGGGCAGCGACATTTGGCAGGGGGTAACCGGCAATTTGTTCGAAATTTTGCAAAAAAAGGTTACATGTTAAAGGGCACGAAGGGAGGCGGGAACCCGGGAGGCGTGGATGCTTACCACTCAGCCACAGCTACAACCGCAAAGGAGGGAAATTGCCTGCCACGGGACGGGCAGGCAGTGCGCGCGGTCCCTACGTACAGGGGCGTACACGAACCCGATTTTTTTGGGGCAACTCGAAAATTTTTGTCGACCTCCCCCGGTCACCACTTTCAAAACATTCAAAAATTGCAGCTATAACAGCGCCGCAGGCCGCAAAAAAAATTTTATATGGACCAATGAAAAACAGCGCCGCAGGCAAAAAAAAATTTTGGAAAAATAGGCTTCATAGAAGTAAAAACCGTCTTAAAAACAGTAATAAACAGCGCCGCAGGCAGAAAAAATTTTTATTGAAAAATCATAAGGGTCCCCCTTATGAACTTTTCGGCCTTCGGCCGATTTTGGGGGGCAATACTTGCTTTGCCCCCCTCGTACGCCCTGCCTACGTACATCGGGTGCAGGCCCGTAAGAGGGGGGGGCGAGTAGGGGCGAGCCCCCCGAAATCGGCCGAAGGCCGAAAAGTTCATAAGGGGGGACCCTTATGTTTTAATTTTTCCAAAATTTTTTTTGCCTGCGGCGCTGTTTTTGTCTATTTTTAACACTAGTTTTAGTGTTATAAACCCTATGTTTTCAAAAATTTTGCCTGCGGCGCTGTAGTTTTAGTCATATTAGTGAAAGATTTTTGGGGTCGCCCCCCGAAATTTGGGTTTGTTACGGCCCCTCTCGGAACGTGTGCTTTCAACGTACAGTCCGCTCTCGTTTGAATGGTCTAAGATCTTAAGTTAGACAAATTGTGTTTTAGAATTGCGGGTTACGGTGGGTGCTAACAGTCGGGCAAAACCGGACCCGGGACGCTCGCCTGGGGGCAAGCGCTTTAGACCACTCGGCCATGGGAGAGACAGGGGAGGGGAGGGGCCAAGGGCTATGAAGGGCTGGAGGACGCAGCCGCCGGACAGCCGAATTCTGGCCACCGACCTGGGTTTTTTGACGAGCGCGGACTGTACCTTTAATGAATGGCCCGATACACGAAGTGAGATTGATGCTGTTTCCAAACGCTCTCGTGAAAAGGTCGAAGGAGAAGCAGAAGCGTGCGATTTTGACCATTTAGTTATATATCGAAAGCTCTCGCAAAGGTGAGAAAACAAGCGCTTCGCGTTTTTCTGTTTGGCAATTTCATTCACACCGTTTGGAACCAAAATCCATGGGTTCAAGGCTAAAGCTCTCAGGGCGGCGATGAATTCTCGCTTTGCCGAGGGCGTTCAAATGATATATGAATCACCCCGATCAAAGTTTTCTGCGGCCCGCTAGAGCCGGGGCGACTTTTTGGGAGACCCGTATCTAAAAGTGATGGACGAGGTGCATATGTTTCTTGCACTCTATCCCAGAGAAACAACATGTTTTTAGTCTGTTCGCATGGATTCCTCTGGAAACACAACTGAAAACTAATACAAGTCAAAATAGGTTACCCCATATATGGGCGCTACGTTGAGACGTTTGGTACAGATATGGTCCGAAAGGTTCTCTTACTTTTCAGCGTCATGGCGATCGTGGCCGCAGAGGTTTGGAAACACTTTGGAAAGGGTTCTGATCGATTGCACCATTTAGTTGGGTTGCGAGGATGGATGGACACTCGGAAAAGGGACCGACAAATGCTACAAGGTTTGGTGCTCACTTTGTTCATTTGTGTCTTCAAGTGGCTCGAGGATGCCACCGACTACAATCGGGCGCACGTCGTCTGCAAAGAATTTGGCGCCGAGATGCCCAGCATACACTCTGACGCCGAGAACGCGGCGGTGCATGGTTAGCATAGTTTTTAATAATTTTTCACTGCTGAAAGGTGCAAAAGAAATTTTTTCTAGCAATGGGTTTTCCGAAACAGCGGATCCGGCTCGGCGCCATTCGGGTAAGTGTGGATTGACGTTAGAAAGATTAAAAAAACGGTTAGAAATGTATTATCCTAAAACCTCGTGCATAGTTCCGGATGAAAATTTTCATGTTGACAAACTGCTCGATTCTGTATGACCGTAAACTGGTGTGTTTGTTTTTGACGTTTTTGCAAATATCTCGGTTCGCGAGTGGGATTTTCGCGGATTGGTTTGAATTATTGATCGCATTTTGATTATTATACCAATTTAAGTAGCTTAATGCCAGAAATTGATAGCAAGAATCCTGAGAATCATCTCCTTTGTCTTACATAGCTTTTGCGGCGAGGTGCCCACTACGCACATTGTTTGGTGTCATTTGGCTTGGTACGTAGCCAAATTGTACCGGAGCTATACACGCGGTTTTAGGGTAGAACTAGCTTTCTACCTCTTACACTTGACGTAGTGTAATGACCTAGAAAATATGTTACCTTTCCATGCTAAAACATTTCTTCCAGTTTGGCAGCGGCAAGCATGACTTCCAATGGGCCAACGGGTCGCCGATGGATTACACAAAATTCGACGACGATTTGATGAGTAACGGATACGGGAATGAGGATTGTTTGGACGTGGGTCCAGGCATTTTTTGGATTTTTTCAAGTAAGGCTAAAGTACAAAATACTCCTTTAGATGGCGGAGGTGGATCGTTGGAATGACTTTCGCTGCGACGTGCCGGAAAATGTTGTGTGCCAGAAGAGGGCAATCGTAAGTGTTTTTACGGACGTCTAGATGACTTTTATACCAATGATTTTCTAATTTTCAGCATGTCTCTTCCGGGAAATAAGCTGAATGAGGAATAAATAATACAGTCGGATTTTGCTTCCAGACTTTTACAACAAGGCCGTATATTTTATTAACAAGATTCCGGCAAGAGACCACACAACGGTAAAGCTCACTGCTGCCGTTTTCACGTGCTACTGCCACGGAAAAATCACACACGAGTTTGCGGCAACAGACCGCTCCGGTTGCTTTGATCCGACCGCTTCGATGTCAAAAAGTGAGCTTCATGAAATTCAAGGCAGGGCCGATACATAGAGCCTCACGGCCCAAACGCTGTTCCAGAAATGTTTGCAAAAATTACCTTGCTCTCTGCTGCCATTGCCGCCGTAGCTGCTGAGGTTTAGAATACAACTATGACATTTTCTAACCGGCCTTAATCTATTAGTTAGGATGTGAAGATGGATGGACTCTGGGCAAGGGGACCGATCAGTGCTACAAGGTTCGCTTTGACCAGTTTTCAATATGGCTCTTTTCGAGCGCTTCGACGATCTGACCGACTACAATCGGGCGGAGGTCGTCTGCAAGGAACTTGGCGCCGAGCTGCCGAACATCCATTCGGAGGCTGAGAATGCGGCAATACATGGTGGATACTTTTATAATTCTTAATAATTTTAATAATAATTTTTATTTTGTCCTTTAATTGTTTGAAAAGAAGAACAAAGCCATTTTTTCAGCTCTCGATGTTCCGAACCAGCGGCTACGACTTGGCGCAACGAGGGTGGGTTTAGAGCATACCAAAAAATTTTTCTTTACTTTATGAGGATTTTGGCATAAGATTAGTTTCATTTAGCGGATTCTGGCTTGCTAGCGGGAGGGGGGAGGGGTTTATCGGGGAAGGAGGTACTTAGGGTAAATTGAGTCCCTTATCTTAAATTAAATTATTCGGAGCTATTTTTAAAACCCTCTGTAAAATTTCTTTGATGCCCTATCGAATAGCGTTAACAGAATGTCGAAAAATAACGAAAATTCAAAACCAAGCTTTATCTTTTTCTTCAGGCTTAGTTTTGCTTTTCTTCTCGCTTTTAAAAAATTATTGTGTTTCGACGGAGAATTATAGGACTTGGTATTTCTTTTGATGCTCTACCGGCTCGCGGGGGTGTAGTCCCCAAAAAATAATAAAATATGGAAAAATCTACGAGATTACCCCACCCCCCCCCCCGCTAACGAACCAGAACCACCTGGCCATAAAAAGTACACAAACGTCCCTGCTTTGCATCATCTACCAAAAATTTTTTGCCAGTTCGGAAGTGGCAAATATGACTTCAAATGGTCTAACGGTTCCCCGATGGATTTCACAAAGTTCGACGACGCCTCTATGGGCAACTCGTATGGCTATGAAAATTGTCTGGACGTGAGCGCCGAGCTAGCTTCCTTTTGAGAGGGGAGAAATTACAATAGCACACCTTTAGATGGCCGAAGTAGATCGTTGGAACGACGTCCGTTGCGACATGCCGGAAATTATTGTATGCCAGAAGAAGGGAAGCGTAAGTGATTTTTTAGGGGCGTCGACGTCTAAATACCCGTTTTTCTATAAGTTTTTTTCAATAAATCTATAATTTTCAGCATATCTCAACCGGGAAATAAACCCGAGCGTCAACGAGAATAAATCATGCAACTTGTTTTTGCTTGGTTACTTTAATATAACAGCAGAAAGGTCCCGTTTATTCAGAGTCGTATGGCGCACCCTGGCTTGTATAGAAGTGCTGTTATCCTACCTTTTACATGGTGTCCCAGACACCAGCTCTAACTCCACTCACTCGACGGAAACGCATCGAATCGGAACGATTGTTACACCATCCGAAAGGCAGCGCGAGGTCGCAACAATCTTCAAAACGATATTTTTATTAAACCCGCTATTTCACAAGCCGTTTTGTAAAATTCTGCCTTTTTTTAGGGATGCATACCAGCTAATTTGCCAATTTCTGCAAGCAAAACGGCCGGAAGTAACCGTTAATTAGGTGCAGGGGCTGTTAAACTTTTAAACTCGTCGGAAGAGGCCTCGTTCACATAAAGACGTGTTTACGAATTTGTTGCAAACTCGTCTTTTCAAGGGCTTACGATGACATAACTAGCATTCCGATCCGATACTTCTGCGTCGAGTTGGAGGGGGTGTCTTTATCTTGACACCCTGTGTGATTTTTCAGGTTTTGGAATCGCTTTTTCATGAAATTTTTAGAATGCGGTCGAAGGGAAAATTCGGCCTGAACCGACTGACCTGAACTGCCGCTTAAATTTTCCAGTGTCATATGAAAGTCAAAACAGCGGCGGCAATAAAGGCCCCACGGGTCGAACTTGGGTCCAGACATGTTTGAAAAATTTTTCTTGCTCTTCGCCTTCGTGTGTACAGTATCAGCCGAGGTTTGGGATAGCTTCAAGGATCTGCTAACCGATGTCCGCTTTTAGTTGGGTTGCCCAGATGGGTGGACGCTGGGCAAGGGGACCGACAAATGCTACAAGGTATGTTTTATGGCGTTAGAACTTCCTAACTCGCGTTGTTGATACCATATTTCCTCTAATATCACCCCTCCAATATACCCCCCAAGCAATTTTTTTCGAATATTTTAATTATGATGGAATCTACTGGCCAAAAAAGTGAAGGCATGTCGCCGAAGAGTACCTGAAAAATGATTTCGCTGCGAAAAAACTAAATAATAATAAAATTTGAGTAACAACGCAATATTCTCGCGGTGCAAACGATTTTTTTGGGTGCGTGACAACTAAGTGTCGTAATGCCGTGTAAGGCACCCAATGTCACGATTTCGGTGATTTTCGGTTCAATATTCGTCATTAAAACGTCTAGCATGTTGAAATTCAAGGGTTTTTACGTCCAAAAAGGGGCAAAGGATCAGGCGGCGCGGTCGCGTTGCGGTCGCATCTGGCTGTTTGCCAGGAATCAACGCTGGGGGCCGTGGACCAGATTTCAGAGCGCCTTTAAGAAGCAAAAATTGCCAAAAACGCTTTCGTTTAAGCTTCGTACTGTGTTCCTGAGTGGTCCTGAGCAGTCTGAAATGCTAAAAATCGTTGGAATTGCTCAAAATCACGAAACGTCTATCCCTCCCTCTAAGCCTTTCTAAGCCTAAGCCCTAAGCCCCCTCTCCTGAGGTATTTGAAAAACAATACCTCCTGGAGTTATATTAGAGGAAATACGGTAGCTTATCCATGACACAGCTCCTTGCGGGCCTGATGGACTACGACAAATCGGAGGCTGCCTGCAAGGCACTTTCAGCGGAATTGTCTAGCATTCACTCGGATGCGGAAAATGCGGCGGTTTATGGTAAGTTTCTCAGATCCCATCAAAATTATACCACAAAATGTAGCATACACCGCTAACGGCGCGCACGTTCGACTTGGGGCAAAACGTGTGAGTGAAGGAGCTCTTGGCCGTTGGAAACCATTCCCATTCCAGTTCGGCCCGGGAAAATACGACTTCAAATGGAACGACGGATCCCCGATGGATTACAAACGATTCAACGACCAGTACATGGACAATACAGCCGGGAAAGAGGACTGTTTTGACGTGAGCGTTTTTCGTTGACGAAACTGCCGACAAAACGACCCCCCGCCGGCCGACCGTTACCTACTGTATCTCGGTTCCCCGGCTGGCTAACGGGCTGCAAGGTGTGCGAAAATACTCGTCAGATCAAGGCGAACCATTTGGTATACTTTACGCGTGAGGTGAGATGGGATGATCTGGCCCAATATAACTTTTCCTGTTGTTAGGCTGCATAGGAGCAACAGCGTTTTTGTACCGGCAGACACCATTGATTCGTCTTTAAATCTTTAGAAACGAACGCTATTTTCAGCTATGGTTTGAGGACCGCTGGAACGACATCCATTGCACCGCCCAGGAGATTGTGGTTTGCCAGAAGCCGGGAAGCGTGGGTGTTAGAGCGGAATTGCGATCCGCATTTTTAAAATTAGTCGCACGCCATAACAGCTAGTGACAGATAGTGAGAGAGAGAGAGAGGGAGCGAGATAGAGAGAGAGAGAGAGAGAGAGAGAGAGATAGAGAGAGAGGGAGGGGTGAGAGAGAAACTTACCTATAACTGGCTGTCCGTAATTTTCGACGTCATTTTCGCGTTAATTGACTTTCAACCGTTTCTATATCTTTTTTCAGCATGTGTCGTCCGGATAATCGCGAACGAATTTTTGATAATAAATTACGCACGGAAATTTGGCTTTGCACGGTGCCAACCGGTTTTATAAAGTCTTCATTAAAAACATATCTAGCTTTACACTAGTTCAATCCATAGCGGTTGCGCACGAATGCGTCATCAGTATTACATGGCCCACTCAATGTGTATATGCGAGGACAACAGCCATAGAAGACTTTATTTCAATAACATGGCCGCATCAGCTTCTCACTCCTTCGCCGGGCCTTGTTCCTTGTTCCCAGCCTAAAGAAAATTTTCCAATTCCGTGAGAAGCCGACCTTCTTGCACATTCCCACCATCTCCTTGTTACAGTCATCTTCGTAATAACGATGCATGGTGGTCACCGCCTGGTCGAGGCTGTTGCACAGCTGGAATTAAGAAATTCCACGCATTTTGCGACGCGATTCTGATTCCAGCCAACTCTAATACCCACCACTAGACAGTTTTTCGTGGTATCCTTTGGACTTGGCACATCCGGCGACCAAAACCCGTAGTCCCACTCCGACCCGTCAAGCCAGTCAAAGGCGCCATCGGCACCCTATAACGTGCCGTTATGGAAAGATGAGTTAGCCTCACCCGCTTGGCCCCGAGCCAACAGTCCTCGTGCTCCGCTTCTTTGGTCATTTCTAAAAGTATCTTAGGTATCACGGAGAGCTGCGAGACGGGGTCACTTTCAGGATCTCGAAATTGCATAATGTCGACTTTCAGAATGCCGAAATTTTATGTAAATTTTCTGTAAAGCCGCTGACCCACCGAGGATGAACTCCTTTTCGAGGAAAGTGAGTGCCGAGGCCAACGTCGCATTCCAGCCAAGACATTGCTCTTGAGCGGCACCGCTTTTTAGGGACGGCGTTAGCTGGATTCAAGGCATTTTCCGACAATTTGTCTACCAGCGGAAAGTATCCCAAATTATTCGTCTTGCTCTGACGAGTATTTTGGTATATGTTGAAGCACTGTAGCACAACGCGGAGCAAAGATACAGTATGGGGATGCACCACAACCCCTGCTAGACCAGAAAGGTTTCGGGGAATGCACTAATTTTTAGCATCGGTCGTTCCAATAGCATTCAATCGCATTTTCAAAACTTCAAAATAAAGTTTTTAACTCTACTTACCTTATAGCAACTTCCGGTCCATTTCGACCCCTTCCACCCCTCGTCGCACTTCGGCGTCTCCAACTTGACGGCCGCCTGGCCGATGGGGCGCTTGCAGATGGCTTTGTTCTGTTGGTCGCAGAATTGCTGCTCGAGGCTGCCGTTGCCCTAAATTCCACCCTTCGCGGCATTGATTTCAGCATCTCGAAAAAGTCGGTAAAGGTCGCTTAACGGGGGGTGGAAATAATTTTTGTATTTATAAAGAATATTCTGCTATTTTGAAAACGCCATCGGATAGATCATCAAAAATTATACTACAATATTTAATTTCCGTCCGAAAAACGTGATTTTAACGATTTTTAACCGATTAAGCTTTTTGGCTAAATCAAGTAATAATTTTAAATTGTGGTATTTCGGGCTGAAATTATTACAGTATTCCGTTATTTGTTCCCCCCCGTCAAGCGACCTTTACCAAAAAATTATTAGTAAGGCGTTTAGGAGAACGATACGAAAAAACCCTTTAACCCACGTTTTTGCGTAAGCAATGCATCTTGGATGTACTGTCTGGCTTGCGGCCCTTGTTCCAGATAATGCTGCCCACATCCACCAGAGTACCATCCATCCAGTGGAACTGTGTCACGTTCCGCGTCATCTAAAACTTCTCATGCTCTTTGGGTGTACATTTTGTACATAGTGCGGCTTATCCCGCGGTGTCGCACTCCAACTTCTGGAACTCGTCTCCCTGTTGGACTTCAGAGGTGTAAGGTATACCAACATGCTCATCTTGGTCTGACGAGTATTTTGGTATACTTTACAACCCTGTAGCACTATCTGGAGACGAGTTACGAAGGACGGGGACAAATTTTCGTTTCTTACATACGTACCAAATAGCCCCCAACCCACGCGTCACCGCCGGGATTATGTTTGGAGATCATCCCTAGATTGGGTTGTCATGTTGCTGTGATTTATAGCCTTCTACCTTCGACAAACTGATTCTCCTCATCGCTCAGAATCGACGTCAAATGCGCACCCGCCAACGCGCATTCCGCTTCGGCGTTCCAGAAATTTTGGCCGTTTACCATCTACAAATACGAATCCCAAAATCCGAACGTTTCTCACCTTATAACAACTGCCCATCACCTTGTATGTTGTCCATCCTTCTTCGCAGTCCTAAAATGTTATATCTCGTGTTATTTCTTTGGTATTGTCATCGTGAAATTGTCACTATATATACCGGGTGTCCCAAAAAAACCCCTACCTAGTCCTCCGCCGTCGAGTCCGATTTTTACGATTTAGGTATCTATCGATAGCTCTCCGAGAAAACAAGGAGGGTTTGGTTTGTTTTTTATTATGTATTTTTATTTGCTAATTTTACGTCTAAAAACTATCAAACTGCTGATCGATGCAAAATCTGCATGCTAATTGCGAAATTCCTGTTGAAAAAGGACCATTTTTTAGAAAAACCTCAAATATCGATAGAATTAGATTCGATTTTAGAAAACGAACCCCGTTTGTTTTCTCGCCTTTCCGAGAGCTTTCGATTGATAGTTAAATCGTAAACATAGGACACGACTGCGGACCGCTAGGTGGGGGGGTTATTCGGGCACCTTGTTATTTCGTATCATTTTTCATGAGTTGGCTCATTTTTAAGTGCTGTATTACAAACTGTCTACACTAATAAAAATTAATATAATTCAATCAAAACGATACCTCTGCGGCCACACCCACAAAAAGCACGATAGGCAAAAGGGTTTTCAACATGGCGACGGAAACAAAGGACCCCCTACCGGTGCTTCTTTTATCCTTTCAGACGATTCGAGATTCATCTAGACCCCAGCGACCGGAAGCTTTTTGTATCCGGTTGGCGACTGAATTTCGATGGACCTTACCCAGTAGGAAAGTGGCCGGATGTCTGCTTCCATAAAAAGTGCTATTTTTAACTGCTTAAAGTTTACAGGGTGTGCAGAAAAAAAAGCCTACAGTTTGCACCGAAATATCTCACTAACGGAAACGAATCTAACCATCGTTACCTTGCCAGAATGCTTAAACATGCTGGGTATGAAGAATAAACACATGTTAGTTTTTGCGATTTTTGACGACTCGTTAAGGATTTTTGAAGATTTTTGAAAAAGCAAAAAAATTTTGAAGCTATAAAGTATGGGACATTTCGGGTATCAAAATGAAGCTCTCGGAGTGCGCTATCCAACGAACGGTCAGGATTTTTGATTCGTTTAACTAGCCGTCAATAGGAACATTCGGGAAATCCGAACTTTTTGCTGAAAAATTCGAAATAAAATTTTTTGACAATCCGATCTTTCTGATATTTTGCAGGTAGCCATTACATATTTACTACTAAGAACTTTTGGCATCAAGTTTTTCAAAATCCCCAATCAAAAGCGTTATAGGATGAAGCCAGCAAGTTAGATGACGGAAATCAATCATTTTGAATCGTGACGTATTTTTTTGTGTTGTGTGCATTGCGGTTTTTCATTATTTCCTTGTTATAGCTTTTTTATCTTAACAGTTTATTCAGCGCAACAGCGATCGGAATTACGGTACCGCGGTCTGGAAATCAGCTGTAAACGAAAAGTACGAAGAACGAGAGTAAACACCCCGTGGATCGCAAAGGAGGGGGTCCCGGATCCGAATAAATGCCTTGAAATTCAAAAACGTAAAACATAGCCTTTTTGTACCTAATTATCCGCGAGTTCCGGAGTTTTAATTTTGAAAGGCTGGGGAGAGTTATTGTATAAAATGGCTATAGAATTCCGCGTTGTATTACAAACGCTCCGCGGGGGTTCAGCTCTGGTCCTCTCGGGGGCAATACAACGCCGCCAGAACGAAAGTTGGGCCGGAACTACCCACAGAAAAACGCGAAGCATGGAGGCTTTTTGGGTGTTTGGGTGAACGTGCCCAGCGAGTCTCCAGTGCAATTTAAACTTCTAATAACCTTTCCGGCTAGAACGAGGGTCTGGTTCGAAACTACGCGCGGATTGAAGGTGTGGCACCTAGTCCCTAATTGTCAAAGCCTTACCACTGGAATTTCACATAAAGCGGCCACCATCGCTTTGTTACAGGCGATATCATTCCACCGCCCCGACATCCAATCTGATAGGTACAGCTAAAATTTGGGGGAAACTTAAAAAATAGCAGATTTTAATTACCTCAACGCATGACTCTCCGTCATTGTGGTTATTGGGTTCATCTCCAATCCATGGGGCATGTCGCCTCCTGGAAAATGTGCGGTACTGAATTGTTAGCGGACGTGCCAATGCTCTTGTGATGGTTGTGCAATGGCTGTGCAATGCCGGAAGCGCCTAGTTAAAGCCATACAGATAATTTGCAGCTGTAGATTGCACTCCTTCGAATTCTTTTGGCCCGGTACGAGAGTATCCAATCCATAGGTGCTGGAAAACGGTGAAATGGAGTTTATTGAAGAGTGTAAAAAGAAAGGAACCCACCTTTCTGTGGAAATCCGGCAAGGCTTGAGCTTTGCGCATTAAATCGTTGTTTTGCAGAGCAAGTGCTAAGAAATATTCTTCTTGAAACGCCAATTTTGGTAAATTACCGTGGACTTGTTTGTTCTGTGTATCCGATTTTATGACGCCAAGGTCCGCCGTTGGTCCTCCATGCTCCTTGCAGAGCTCGCGGCTTCGCGCCCATGTGGAATTAGCGTCGATGATCTAGACGACAATTAAAACATTTAGCAATATTAGTCATTCCGTCACCAATCCGTAATTATGCCCGAAATCTTATAACACGCTAGGTTCAGGGCTGAAAAGGTATAGACGAGAGCAAGTATTCGCCCACAAGGGAAGCAGGAAGCAGCTGGGGAGATGTTTTTCTCAGGTTCCATGTCGAGAAACAGTACCTTATAACAGGAGCCTTCGATCACGGTGAAGCCGAGGTATTCCGAACATTCTTGGCCCTAAACAACAATTGGATCTATGACGATGGCAACTAAGAATTCAATTTCCCCTCGGATACGATATCATCAACTATAATAAAAAAAGTTGTGTAGTCTGTCCGTCTGTGTGTGAAGCCGAATTCGATTGGAAGGGGAAAGGAGCTAGAGCTTAGGTCTCTTCGGATCCGGATAGAGCGCGATCAGAAACCCAAGACTGATAAAAAATTATAGAAAAGGTTTTGTTTCAATTATTAAAATTAATTTGAAAGTTTTTCCTTAGTAAATGGAGTGGGGGACGGATGTTTCCACGATTCTGGACATAGTTAGTCAGGTGGCGCCCGTCTCGTGGCGCCCAGGGCTGGAAATTTTCACCGGATCATTGCGGATACGCTTCAAGTAGACTTGAAAATCACATTCTCTCACCGACAATTTAGGCCTGCGACTGGTCAGCGACTTCTAATCATTAGAACTGGCTGGGGCATAATTTTGCGCGTAACTTAAACGAGCGGCATCACCGGCATGTTTTAAACTATTTAGCAGCAAAAAACCGCTTCATCCCGATGCAGGCAGGCCTCGACCGGGAAAAACGAGCTGTCGGGCGGGCGGGTGGGCCCTGGCCGGCCCCAGCTCGTTTTTTTTCCGGCCCGGCCCGGCCCGGCCCGACTTTTTGAGGTCAAAACCGGGGTTGGCCAAAAACCTCCCGCCAAAGTGGTTTAGCACCATTTGAAGATACTTAGCTGTTAATACAGCGTTAGCGTGCCCTTTTTACAGCTTTTCCGTAAAGAAAATTCAAAGTTTAAATTAACAACGATTTTTAAGGGATAAATATCGATAGAGCTTCGGATAATAAGGTTAAATTCAACCATTTGCGGGTCTAATTAGCTATTTTAGTGGATATTTTAATGTTTCATACGTTGCTACGATGTACGATTATACTTCTATCAAAAAAAACCCGGTCCGAATGACTAAAAAATCCAAAAAGCAGAAAGATGGCACCGGATGGGGTCGAACCCGGGTCGATTTCCTGGTAGAGGGTTAAACCAAAAAAAAGGTCCAAAGTTTGACTGAGGTTATATAACAATGCCCAATAGGCTACTTGCGAGCGATAAATGTTTAAAATAGCACACAATTCCCGTCCAAAAACCTATTTTTCACTTGAAAAAAATTTCGGGCCGGCCCGGGCAGCAGGGCCGTAACAAACCCAAATTTCGGGGGGGCGACCCCAAAAATTTTTCACTAATATGACTAAAACGACAGCGCAGCAGGCAAAATTTTTGAAAACAAAGGGTTTATAACACTAAAACTAGTGTTAAAAATAGACAAAAACAGCGCCGCAGGCAAAAAATTGTTTGGAAAAATTAAATCATAAGGGTCCCCCCTTATGAACTTTTCGGCCTTCGGCCGATTTCGGGGGGCCTCGCCCCCTCGCCCCCTCTTACGGGCCTGCCGGGCAGGCCCAGCTTTTTTTGAATTCTCGGCCCGGCCCGGCCCGGCCCGGAAAATCCCGATTTTACTCGGCCCCGGCCGGCCCGCGTTTTGCATTTCTAGAGAATTACCTACTTAATTTATTTTGATTGTGAAATCGTGAATAGTCAATCGAAACGTGAAAAGAAATCTGATTGTGCATCTTATTCTCGCGAAAA